CCCCAAACTGTGTGGTAGATCTCTTGTGTTTCTCTTTTGTGATTAATCTTAAAGGCCATCTTTCATTTTAAACACATGTTGAAGTGCTTATATAGTAATATGCCTAAACTTTATATTTTCATTGAATAAAAGGAAGATATTTGAAAATAAAACGAGTTATTACCTGCTTACCTAGCTATCCGATTTAAAACGGCGCCTCTAGCTGGAAACCGGAAGTGATGCACACGGAGGAAAACATTTCCGACTCTACTAAGCAATGGATTCACAGCAGCAGGACGAGGTGTCAGAATTTGAACACAAATTTACAGTTATTTATAATACTGAAGGTGCACAGCCTTACAGTTTTGAGCCAGCAGCAACAGGGAATGAGAACAGGCAAAACAGAGTTAATTTAAATGGTGAAAGAAGAGTTATAGAAACGTAGGAACTTCAAAATGCACACAGACTTGGAAATGCTAACTGGTAACGGCATGTTTTATTTTTAAAGATATTTTGACAGAAAATGTCCTCTGACCGACTACATCAAATACCTAGCCACATAACTTAAAGAAATACTAAAGTCAAATTAAAAATGGTTAATTTATACAAAGTTTGGGTCAAAGTTCTTCATAGTCCTAGCACCCATTTGTTAAATTAGCTTTGTTTCATTAGCTGTTATTACATTAGCCTAGCCTGGTAAGCCATTCATGTGAAAATATCCTTGTGATTCAGCAAAAAAGATTCTAGGCTGATGACATTATTCATAATTCCTCCACCAACCTTTTCCTATAGTTTGGGATTCTGGTTGTACAAATGAAACGTTGCAGATCTAATGTCCCAAAAAGTCTCCACCTTAAAACTGTGACCTATTGTAGCTTTACTTAATTTGACATTTTAACAATAAGTAACTTATTGTGCTTTATGGATGACAGTAATTGGCCATAATGTAATGCTCTGTGGGATAAAGTTTTCTGTCAAGTTTCAGTCATGATCATTCTCTTATTTCATTTGCTTTATTTACTTATTTTTACTGCATATTAGATGTCGGTGTGGCCAGTGTGGGCCAATGGACAACATTATTCACAGCATTTTTTGTCAGGAGCTGGAACCATTCAGGGAGCTCTTGTTGGACCCACCAGTACCACATCTCTGTTTAACGGGCCATCCTGGATTTGAGGGCTGCTGCTTGAATCCTTTTGTGTTGATACTAGCTTATCAAACATTTAAGGAGCAACATGGGCCCCTACATCTGCAGTTCAATGAGTAAGAACATATTGATCCACTAATGTCATAGGTATTAAGTTTAGCAACATTGCATCACTTTCATCATCCATATTTGACAAAATGCTTCTGAAAATAGTCATTAAAAATGTTCTTGCTAACAATAAAAGACAAATCTTTAACGTTGCTGATAATTCCACTTCTTCATTTTGCAGACAGTATCGTTATGTTACTTATAGAAACTAAACTACAAATGACAAACTAAAGATCTACAATCTAGATCAATTACTAAATTTCAAACAGTCACAGCTAAGGTGATCGCCAGATTCGGTCTGTGTCTCCCTGAATTTCTCTGCTTAATTATGCCCAAGGTGAAGGCTGATAGCTGATTGGGTGACGTAGCACCGCTGCTGCTGCTGCTTCTAGGTGTGGCTCTCGCTCTGGTGATGAACCGGCTGGGAGGAGGAGTGGTGGAACTGGAGCTGTGACTGGGGCTGAATGGCAGGGAAACGGGAGAAAACAGCAGCAGCATGACCGGAGGGCTGGAGCAAAGTTACAGAGACTGTAACAAGTTCTAAAAGTACATTTGGAAATTTTTCTCCACTCTGCAAATTATCCAAAAAAAGAAAACTTAGGTCAATACACTGAATTTAAAATCTACCTGTTTTGAAAATCTTGACTTCCTGATGTACTGCCCAACAGCCTCGTGCTTTTCTACTCTGTCACACAGGCTGCCAGGGGTCCAGGATCTGCAGCCCTCATAGTAGTTACTGAGGAGCTCTGTTGTTAAGTAAAAACTGATATTATTATTGAACTGATATTAATGTCTTGACTGCTAAACATCTGGTGCCAAAAATTACTGATAAAATTACCTAACACCAGTAGCTCAGGGTTCTTGTTGTAGGTCTCTTGCAGCCTGCTGAGTAGTGCTGTGGCATACTCTGTAATCAAAATAATTTAAGAATCAGTTATATATAAACTGAATATTTACTAAACCAAAAAAAAAAAGAAGAAACATTTGCCATAAGTCGGTTTATCTTTGACTGGCTGCACTGACCATCCACCTTTTTTAAAGCGTGGATAGCGCATTTGTCCACACCAGCCTTGTTTCTGGCGATGTCTCTGTTGCCATTGCTGTTATAATGGAGAGCAGCAATCTGAAATAGAGAAACAGGAAAAAAAAAACATGGTCACAAGCACACACACACACACACACACACACACACACACACACACACACACGCTCAATAATACTTGCCTAGTGTATATGCCCAAGTACGAGATCCCCGCATGCTTCGGAGCAAATTTCAGGATCAGGGAGTGGAATGCTCCGAGTGAATATGTCTGATGCTGTGGTGACAGCTGAAAAGCACACCACAAATCACGGAGTTGTTCGGGACTCTACTGCTGGTAAAATCCTACCTTTTTACCCCCAACAAATCTCACCCAAGCACGGAAAGCTGGGTTTTTCTGTTTTGGGAATCGGAAAACACGATGTCCAGACAAACTGGAGTTTGTACACCCCCCACATACACAAACATTAACCATATTTGAACTAGTTTACTTGGTTTTACCTCAGCAACTAAAATTGACCGATTTGTCGTTGTCCTCTCATTTGCCTCTGCGTTTACCTCTAGGCATGTCACGTGTCACTTGACTCTAAAACCGCGTGTTTTTTGGGGGCGCTTGCTCTCATCCCTTTATTTAGTATTTTTAAACACCTGCTAGTTGTATGGAAACATAACCAAAGTAACTTTTTACATTAGATTATGCTTTTTGGCCATTTTAAAGAACATGAAAGATGACCTTTAATATTTGATCACGCTTTCTAAGTTTTGATGCTTGAGAATTGTTCTGGGTTTTTTTTTGTTTTGTTTTTTTTGTTTTTTTGTCTTGGGCCTTTGGGATTTTTTGTGAGAATGTGTTAAGGTGGTTTTATATGCAGTAGGTCAAATTTTAAACAATCATGACACTGAAACACAATTCTGTTTGTAGTGGTAACTTTCCTGGATTTTTTCACAGTAAGACAAGTTCAGTTCCATTATGTTCCTCTTTTTTAACTTGCTGACTAAAGTAAGTTGGGAGTCTAACCTAACCCTGGCCCTAACCCACCCAAAAGGCATGGGTGTTACATCTAGATATTACCTTTAATTACATTTTCTATAAGGCTGCTTTGGATAGCTTTTTCTCTAAAGAAATTATTTGAATCTGCAAGTTAACTGAAGTGCTCAAATGACTCATCTGGTACTACTTTTTTCACAAAAAAAGCAAAAATATTTGTTTATTTTATTTGACTTAACCAGATTAGTCATTTTAGAAGTAATTTACCACGACACCGACCTGGCCAGGAGGCAGCAGCAAGAGGAGAAAATCTGAAAACAAAGATGTTATAAAACACTCATTTAAAAGCAGAAGTAATTCACAAAAAGGCAAACAAGTTCTAATATTAAACCTGTATGTGGCAGATAACTGAATAATAATCTGACTGAGCACCAGGCAGGTTTGGAAGTAGAGCTTTGAAGATGTTTGTGAAGAATGAGTCACAGGTGTTCTCACGTCTGACTCATGGGTTTTACCATCAAACATGTCATCAAATGTGTCGGATTGTTTGTGAAATAAAGAAAAAGAAAGTTAGAGGGGAGTCGTTTCATTTCCTTTTTTATTGTAGTTGATGCAAACATATCCTATAAAACTGGAGGATAGGAGAAGCTCTGGATAATTCTGCTGATTAGTGAGCAAATCACTTCTAAGTCCTCCACAGTCATGAAACCCTGAAACAATCAAATCACACATGTTGAGTTCGTCACCACAGAAGTGTATTAGACTTGTTTGCTGCAGACAGTTTGGTTTTGTCCTGTTTGATGTTCAGCTTGTTTATTTCAGAGGCTGTGACCTGCTTCATTCGCTGCCTTTATCATGGAAATGTTCCTTTGAGCAGACAGTGGCAGAACCTGAGCCTCTTCTGGTGTGGAGTGAGTCTTCAGAGGTGAAAAGGTGTACTGTTAACACAGCAGTGCAGCTAATTCACATTTAGGTTTCCTTTGAAGCAGACAACAGTCTGGGATCCTTCTTTACTTTTGTGACAAATGTTAAATGAGTATATATGATCTTTGAGGCTAAAGCAGTGTGGGAATTCGTGTGTGCAGCAACAAAGTGAACACATTTTGGGCAATAAGATGTATGTTTTACTACAGTTATGCCTGGGCACATTTAAAAGTTAATTTTTGTTCAACTTCAGCTCCGATCTGAGGTTTTTCTAGGAATAATGCCTTTTATTGTGGTTTCTGCATTGAGTTTGTTTCAAAGCAAAAGATTTTGAAAGGTATTTGAGAGGAAACGCTCCCAAAATGTTTGGTGGAGTGCCATCTAACTACTGCTACACCTGCACAAGACGTTGGATTTTTTGCACAAAGTTAATTAGCAAAATATGACATGTGCACATCATGCACCTTGTCCTATTATTTCACATATTTACTCATGTAAGTTATTTTATGGCTCTATAGTTTGCTTATTCTTTCATTATCATTTTTCAAGTTTTGATGTTTAGAGTTTAGCTGTTCTTCCGTTTAGTTTTTCACTGAGTGTTTATTTTTATTGTCTGTTTATAACCAGTCTTATTTGTGTATTTTTAGTCTCATTGTTTATTGTGTTTTATCAAAGACACTGGAAGTTTAAAACATCATTTAGCACCATGTGACATAAAAGCAGATATTTTATGACATCAGCTGACTCATGATGGAGCGAGCTGCCGCGCCTGGTGACACTCAGGGGGTTCAGGAGAAGCTGTGGTGCCCCAGTGCCCCTCCTCTGCAGATCGGATCTGATAAAAGGCAGCTCTGGTGCGTCATGGCCACAAGGAGAGATCAGCGGTGAAAGCAGGACTGCCTCTGCCTCCACATGGCTCTGCTTCTGGCCCTAACACAACACGATGACTCCCTCTACATGGGCGCAGACCGGCAACTTGCACGCGCTGAACACGTTTGAGAATTGAATTATTGATTTATTTTGATGCCAACTGGAATCGGGACAAACGCTTGGTGAGTTTTTACTCTTCAATATTTATAATTTTGAAAAAACAAAAAAAGTAAATACTTTTCTTTGAGCTCGATAAATGGGATTAACGACATTGATGTTATGTAATCTGTTCAGGAATACTTGTCTTTTTTCATCTTAAACCCGAGCAGAGCTGTTTAAATTTGGTTATTATAGTTTCTCACTGATCTGTCTGGTCCAAGAAGCATCACAGGTTTCCTCAAACGGAAAATTAACCATCCGTTTCCCCGTTTCATGTCTGTAATCCCGTTGGGACGGAAGGGAATTGAATGCAAATACATTCAATTTCTAACCTTCTGATGCATGAATTATGAGATCTTCAACCGTGGTTTTTTAAACAAATTTTTTCATTCATCTTTAGGTGTGAATGAAACAAATTTCAAATAATATTTCTTGTAACATTTAATAATTTACAAATTATTTATTTCATGTCCACCTCGGTGGACAGCGTGCATTCTGAACATGAAATTTGGTGGCTTGACTTACTGAAGTCTAAATGGAGAGGCTCACATGCAATAAAGTCTTCAACAGCTGTGCTTAATAGCAAAAATAAAGAAATAACAATTTTGAGTACCTCTCCACTGTGACCATTATGCATCAAATGGTTAGAATAAATAAATCCAAATAAAATGTATTGCCTTCTTTTTGCAAATGAGCAGTTTACTTGATTTAGGATTTTTTAATTGTTAAAATGCATTAATTTATGCGTAAAATAGTTAAACAACATACAATAATTTGTCAAATGGAAATTAATTTAGATGCATAAATTTGGATTCAGTTTTGAAACTGAACGTGCACGAAAGTCAAAAGTGTGGGCTGAGAGCCGATTTTAACACCCCCAGCCTAAATCTGTGCATCGGGTTTGTCACGTGATTTATAAGAAACAAGCTGTGATCTTCTACCTCCAGATTAATCAGGAGTTCACCATAAAAACTCAGGGCTGCACCAAATAAAGTGTTGGATTTAGAGGGGATTAAAAACATTTAAAACTGAAGGTTTTAATTTTCTTTCTAAAAGTGAAACAATAAAAAAGATGCAGAATTTTTTATGTATAATACTGTTAAGAATAACCTTTTTAATGTATTGTGTGTATTATGAAATGTTGGTTTCGTTTGGCATGCAGACGCATAGGCCGTGGTGTCGGATGGGCCTCGTCAGACCAATGTGTTTCTTGCTGTAGGCCAGCCGTCAGCGGAAACGAGGCGTACATAAATCCTGAAGTGGAGAAAAAGAATCGTGAGCAGTCTCAGATCTGAGTAGAAACGGGTCATCATGCTTGGAGGGGAAGGAGAAAGCGGCGCGTACACGGCTGGAAAAGACGCAGCGGAGGAAAAGCGCGCGTCTCCGGCAGCGGATGAAGACGAGTCTGCGACCGGGACCAGGTACGAACACGGGATGGGGGGTGCTGACCGATACTACATCCCACACACGATTTCCAAGCAGAGCCCAGAAGCACAGAACCCCTGCTCCTTCATCCCCTACACCCCCGGGGGCACGGTGTACAGCCCACCCAGCGCCGCCAGGTACTCCTCCTCGCTCCACCTGGGCTCCGTGTTGCCTCCAGCGGGGTACTCTCCCTCAGCCGCCGGGCGCACACACTTCAGCCCGCCCTACCAGCACGGACAGAACCTCGGCTGCATTTACCCGCCTTACACCGGATCCGGGTCGGCTCTGAGCAACATGGCTCTACCCAGCACCGGTCCCGGGATGAGGGCCCAGGTTTACCTGTGCAACCGCCCGCTGTGGCTCAAGTTTCACCGACACCAGACCGAGATGATCATCACCAAGCAGGGCAGGTGAGACAGAACCGAAAGCTGAAGGACCAGCTGGGACGCGTGTGTAGAACAGGCTACAGGTAAAGTTTTATTTTGTGCGTCTGCAGGCGGATGTTCCCGTTCCTCGGCTTTAACATCGCTGCTCTGAACGTCACGTCACACTATAACGTGTTTGTGGAGGTGGTTCTGGCGGATCCGAACCACTGGAGGTTTCAGGGCGGCAAGTGGGTCACCTGCGGGAAGGCGGACAACAGCAGCCAAGGTACACCCCCGCACCTTTTCACTTCATATTTACATTATTCTATTTAAAAAAAAAACTTTAAACATCACGTCTTGTTTATTTGCCAATTCAGATATATTTTCTTTCTGTTGGGAAATTTTTATTTTAGGTAATAAAGTCTACATCCACCCGGAGTCTCCGAACACAGGAGCTCACTGGATGCGCCAAGAAATTTCCTTCAGCAAACTCAAGCTGACCAACAACAAGGGAACCAGCCACAGCACGTCCCAGGTGGCAAACTCAATTAAAAAAAACAAACAGAAGAAATAGGTGTCAGTCAGAAAATTTGTAATTTTATATTTGATTTACGATTTTTAAACCATATTTGTCACCATGAAACAAAAACAGGGATTTCCCCCGCTTGATTTTGTAAATAAGAACCCTTATTTCCATTAAAAGTGGTGCTTTGATATGAATGATGGTCAGTAACAAATAAAAGGTGATAAATCTGATTTTGTTTTGTCTGGTTGTGTGTAGATGATTGTTCTGCAGTCTCTGCACAAATACCAGCCCCGGCTGCACATTGTGGAGGTGGCTGAGGATGGAGTGGAGGACATCAGCAGTGACAATAAAACTCAGTGCTTTACTTTTCCAGAGACACAGTTTATAGCGGTCACTGCCTACCAGAACACTGACGTGAGTAATAGTACAGCTGTGTGTGTGTGTGTGTGTGTGTGTGTGTGTGTGTGTGTGTGTGTCGGAGATGTACTGGTTTGGTTGACATACCTGGTTTGATTTTTTTTTTACTTGTATATCTAAATTAAATTCTTTATCGTGTTTGGGTTAAAATCCTTCTTAACCCATCCCGGATTTTAAAAAAATATGATTTTTGACCTTCAGATGTACAATAGTGCTGATATGTATGTATGTATATATATATATATATATATATATATATATATATATATATATATATATGGGTGCAACTTTCAAGTGTTTTGCACATTTTGTTTCTGCGAGACTTCCATCATTTAGACCCATTGAGCACACTATTGATCAATATTTCAGTGACACACACACACACACACACACACACACACACACACACACACACACACACACACACACACACACACACACACATGTGTTTTGTTTTTTCCATTTTCTATTGTTTTTGTCAGATCACACAGCTGAAAATTGATCACAACCCTTTTGCCAAAGGATTCAGAGACAATTATGACTCGTGAGTATTCCACATCACATTGCATTAAATCCGTTAACTGAGAATTACATTTTCACATTTCCCACATTGTCTGTTTTTTCCTTTAAGGATCTACACAGCTCCGGAGCCTGACCGGCTCACCCCATCTCCAAACGACTCTCCTCGTGCCCACCAGATCGTCCCCAGCGCCCGCTACATGCAACCCCTCTTCCAGGACCAGTTTGTGAACAACCTCCCCCAGAACCGCATCTACAACTGTGAAAGAACAGTGCCACAAACCAACAGTCTCCTCTCACCTCCATCGGAGGACGGAACTTCGCAGAGGTGGTTTGTCACCTCTGTGCAGCAAGGGGGAAATAGCACCAGCACCAGCAACAAGCTAGATCTGACGCATTATGAGGGGGAATACTCCAGCTCCCTCCTCCCTTATGGCATTAAATCGCTCTCCATGCAGACTACTCATGCTCTCAGCTACTACCCAGACTCTCCTTTCACCACAATGTCAGCAGGGTGGGGGTCCAGGGCAGCTTACCAAAGAAAAGTCCCCCCGAGCCTGCCATGGTCTCCCAGACCCAGCCCTACTGCTGTTTTCTCAGAGGAGTCAGGGAAAGTTAAACTAACAGAAGAAGTGTACAATGATGCTCTGGTCAGCTCCTGGACAGAGACCCAGCCATCAGGTCAGTCCCCCAACAAGGCTGATTCTTATTCTATCGCCTGCAAGCGAAGGCGTTTGTCTCATAATGGTCCAAGCACAGAGGACTCACCTGCCAACAGCAAGTGTGTTGTCTCTGCTGCACCTATCAACTCCTTCAGTAAAGAACCCCCCCTCACCAAAGGCTTGGCTTCTTTTTACTCCTTTTACACAAATCCTTGAGTTTTTGTCTTTGAAAATCCAAACCTTGTTTTGATTGTTTTTCATCAATAAGAGCTACTGTTTTGCTTTTGTTTACATGTAGCTTTGGCTTGTTTTTTGTCTTACCAAGATGAAAAAAAAAGGTTTAAATTTAACTCTGAATTTTAGGGCACGTGTTCTAAATGCCACGAAATAAGGAAGTTCAGAGCTAAAGCATGTGTTTAAGGTGCTCCCCACAGCAAACATTGTGATGTGCATTTCATTGTTGCGTACATGTATGTGTATGTATGTGTCTGCCTTTAAAGTGAGATTATGTGTTTACAGATTATTTATTAAAGGCCTGTTTATATAAATTTGTGCCCTCATTAAAGTACGAGAAAATAATACTTTATACATAGCCTCATTGCAAAGTTCTGATATTTGATAATAAAATGAGTTTGTGTTTTATCAGCAGTGATGATTTTAAGTGTTATGACAGGTTTACATTTGCTCATTTGAAAACGTTTGTTTATACGGACTTTGTCGCCCTCTAGTGGGTAAATTTTGTTATTGCAATAACAAATAAATTAAATCTCCGATTCGACGTTAATAGGGTCCCTAATTTATTTCCTATCACGGATCACGGACTAAAAACCAACATTCCAACGTATGAAAATAGTAAAGAGGGATTCATTTAAGTGGAAGAAACTATTCTGTCTGTCAAGATAAAAATCACAAGGCGTGTCACAAGAACAAACTAAAAAAATAAACAGATTAAAAAAGGATCATAAAAATGGGAAAAGTAAAAATGTGAAGAAAGGGGAAAAGAAAATGTATTACAAAATGGTAATCAGTGGATCCTGTTGGCATAATTGGTAGAAAGACCAGAATGAAGAGAAGTTTGAGCCGAGGTGAAGAATTAACGGAAGGTCATGCAAAACCAGCCTGACCAGGTGAGTTTTCAGCTGCTTTTTAAAGGAGACCACTGAGTCAACTGATCTCAGGCTGTATGGAGGCTATATTTACATGTATATGGAGGCATGATAATTATGTATTATCCATGTACACAGTTCTGTTCGGATAATTTAGTAATATGAGTTGTCACACCTTATTAAATTCAAACAAATAATTTGTAATTTGAGTTTTACCAAGTTTTAATAATGGGCTGTTCTTTAAAAGGCAAACTAGTTTGGTACAGGACCCAAAATTTCCCAAGAGTCAGGGACTCATCTAAGGAAACACCTTACATACTGAGATGCATATACATTCTATGCTGGTAGTAGACTGAATATAGCTGATGGCGACATATAATTTTTTTTTACATTATACTAACGGTTGTATTTATTATTATTATTATTATTATTATTATTATTATTATTATTATTATTATTATTATTATTATTATTAACAAATAATTGCTTAGGCGAATGTAACAGTAATTTCATCAATGGACCTTTTCTGGAACAATTCAATTAGCTGTATGACCTAAATAGCTGTTTAACTAGCTGTATTAACACGCTCTTTATTGTGATTTTAAATATTATTGGGTTTATTATTTGTAATTGCATTTAATCACATATTTCTTTGTTGTCCACCACTGTTGTGGGGCTGCAGAAATATTTGTTCTATTCTATTCTATTCTATTCTATTCTATTCTATTCTATTCTATTCCTGAGGATGAATGATTTCCTGTTCCAACATGACGTCTGTATTTACGCCGCTCTTTCATCATAGACATATAGTATTTAACTGTGAGTCCAATGACCAGTAGGACTCAAGGCGACATCTATATGTAAATATCTATGGTCAAAACGAGGAACCCAACACGCACAAAGACTCACACGCGCGATTGTACCGTCCATCCTCCGACTGTAATTCTACGAAGGGATTGCCTTACCTAAGGAAAAAATAAAAGTAAAAATGATTTTTCACGCTAAGGACTGACGCTTAACCCACAAGATCGTTACCTCAGTAGCGAATCTGTCATTTATGTAAGTGTCAATACTTGTCACGCATTATTAACGGAGTTTATCAACTGTTCTTGTTAGCATTGATTTGGCTAGCAATGCTGTTAGCATCCTAGCCCCTCCGCTAGCGCGTGCCCTGACGTTGGTCAACGCAGATGCGTCACGATGTTTGTTTTGGAATACGGCAAGACTCGTTGTGTTTTGCCATTAACAGTAGAACAGACAACAAAACGAAGTGGTTCGCCGCTAAAACCACCTAAGGTCAGTGAGCGGCGAATGTCTGTTTTGACCAGAAATGCAACAAATGGAATGTCGGGGACTGTTCATTGTGTTTAAACCAACACGCTGCCGTCGGTTTCAGCTAGCGAAAAATGGTAAACACCACACGGCATGAAGAAAGGCCTGCATGAAGGAGTTCAGGGACAAGTGGCAGCTTCTCGGGCAACGGTGATATTTTCCTCCCGTTATAAAGAGCGATAGCTGCTGTTAGCTGGGGATGGTTGACGCTGGTTACATGGGGGAGTGTTAACTATTGTCAGAATGGTGTGCTGTCTTGCTCTTAATTTTTGTTCTTTTTGTTGTAAAGGAGGACCCACTCGAAAACGAAATGTTTCATCTCAAGTGGTTATTCCTCCGTATAAAATTATGTTTAAATAAATAAATAAATTAGTAATACATCCGAATAGTGTCCTCATCGAGCAGTTTGAGTTTCATTTATATGAAATATACGTAGTTTTGTGCGTTTTGACGTTTATCTCTTGTATCTGTGTGCATCTCCTAACACAAACTGGACACAGACACGTGTACTAGTGTAAACTATACATCTTTCTTTTTTCTTATACTGTAAACACCTTATTTATTTCAAGGGTTCGAGAGAACTGTCTGCAGTTTACCTGGCCATGCATTTTCTGGGTACCCTCTTTGTGTTCTGCTTATTTCAAATTTTATCAGGTAAAACATGAGGTATTTATCCCATTTAAAGGTAAACATGCTTGTGTTATAGTTTTAGAAAGGTAATATAAAATAAATTGTATCATTGTATGGACAGTTTTTCGGAAGACTTTGGCATCTTTTTGCTTTTGCGTATGCTGATTTTATGAAACATACCTCAGATTCTTCCCATAAATTTCATCATGCTGAAATTCCCCACAGGGACAAAAATACCCTGGACTGTGTTTATATGAACATTCCTAACAGCCACAGATCCCTCCCATGTTCTCACTTTGGTCCATCAGGACATATTTCTGTGTTCCTGTTTTGTCAACGTGTTTGTAATCAGTAATAAAAGTTAAAGTTTGAACAGATGAAGCAACAATTCAGCCCACAATTTGGTGCACATTCAGAGAAGTTTGAGCTGTGAAAGAAAAGTGATTATCTTTCCCAAATTGCCTCCTAGATAAAAGCATCTGCTGAATGAATGTGGGGTAATATATTTTCACATCACTGGTGCTTAGGTGTAATAGATGCAAAATAAAGATTTAACAGGTTTTTGTTGAAGTGCAGTGTGTATTTTATTCTAGAAACAGATTCAGATTTTTGTTATGAAGCTGACAATTTTATGAACGCTCATGACCATATGGTGCTCCGGTGGAAACGGAATGCTGAGTCGCTGCATGTCATTGTCTGTTTTGAGTATTTTTTGTTTTATAATGAGTGCTGGCCTCAGTGGGATGGGCCTCTTTGGCACAGAGAGGCGGAAGCTCCTGGTGATACAGCAGGAAGTCTTGTCCTTCACTCTGTGTGAGCTTTGTGCTCACAATGTTCAGTTATTCAACAGAAAAAAAACAAATGTAAGGAGGTGTTTGCAGTGCCTTGATGATGCTGACACAGGCGCTTGTTGCAGAGGAGGCTGAGCTACCTTGGAGATTGGATTCTTGTGATTGTGTTTCAAGGCTCTCTTTGGATTTAAAGAAAAATCGGTGATTTAACAGAATTTATTTCTTTTTTTAGGACATGAAGAACATGAATCATGCAGGCCCATTCGACTTGACTTAGAGAAGACTAAAAGACGACTGTGGTAGAAGCTCGACCTCCATAAAAGGAGCAGAAATGGGGAACACTGCGACTAAGTTCCGCAAGGCTCTCATCAACGGGGACGAGATGCTGGCCTGCCAACTCTATGAAAGCAACCCACAGTTCAAGGAGGCTCTGGATCCCAGCTCTACATATGGAGAGTCCTATCAGCACAACACTCCGCTGCACTACGCTGCCCGGCACGCCATGATGCGCCTACTCAGGTCAGGATAGCGTCCAGATAAAAAGCCGTTAAATGTAATCAAAACATTCACCGGCTTGTTTTGATATGATGTGGTCAGTAAATATGAAAGGAGAATGTTATTAGTTTAGTTTCTAGCCTTTTTGGGATAGTTGTAATATGTTTTAGAAATTTGTGACTGATGCACCATTACTACTTTATTGGAAAAAAAACGTTGATGATTTGCCTCTATATGCCTTCCCGGCTGTCCCTCCACATAGCCATCTGCTCCCAGGAATGCAATATGCTGGGTTGAAATACATCAGGATTCCAAGAGCTTCTCATCTTACAAATCAACAACTTTGGATGTGTTTGTCATCATCCCCCTAAAGAACAAATTTTTTTTTCTTCCTACTAATATAATTCATGCACTACCTGCTGTTTTAGGTGATGCATATTTAACACAGGTGGAACAAAATTCCCTAAATACTTTATATAAAATAATCTATAAGCGCAATTATTTTACATCTAGATGACAGCCGTTTTTTTGTATTGTGCTTTTATTTATTCTGTCCTTTGTTGATCATCGTATGAATATATTGGGACCAGCACCCTGAAGTAGCCATTGCAGTTTTCTACAGCATGTCCTGTTGTTGTAGATTGACAATAAAGCTTTCTAATTCTAATTCTTACTAAGATACTATGTGCTTTCTAATAGAGGTCGACTGATATTGGTTTTTCTATTGCCGATATGTAAGAGGCATGGTCAGCCGACACTGCCGGTTCTTATGGGCTGATTTCCATGGCTGATATCTAGACATTCTCCTCCATATTTTCATGCTAAATTGTCATTAATAACATCGCTTGGTAAACAAAATTTCTGAAGCTGAATCAGTTTTGAACTCTGAATGTAACTGTTAAACCTTAACTTTGTGCACCACTCGATGTTAAAGTCAGACATCTAAATAAAGTTATTTAGAGTATTTATTATGTAGACATTATTAATAAATGTAAAAATACATTTAAATTAAATTCTGCAACCGCACCAGGCTGCCTGAGGATGTGCCGACTTAAAATCTGCTTTCCTAAGGATAAATATCTGCCAATACCGATGTACAGTACAGGCCAAAAGTTTGGACACACCTTCTCATTCAATGTGTTGTCTAATTTTCATGACCATTAACATTGGTAGATTCTCACGGAAGGCATCAAAACAATGAATGAAAACATGTTTTATATTCTATTTTCTTCTAAATAGCCTCCCTTTGCTCTGATTGCTGCTCTGCACACTTGGCATTCTCTTGATGAGCTTCAAGAGGTAGTCTCCTGAAATAGTTTTCCAACAGTCTTGAAGGAGCTCCCAGAGGTGTTTAGCACTTGTTGACTCCTTTGTAAATGGTCATGGTCATGAAAATAAAGAAAACACACTGAATGAGAAGGTGTGTCGACACTTTTGGCCTGTACTGTATATAAACGATAAATATAGGCCCGATATATTGGTCTACCCTTACTTTCTAATATGGCTCTCTTGCATATTAATTAGAATTAATATAGAATATTGTGAAACTTTCCTCTAAGTATTTGGCTAGTCTTCAACTTAATAAATGTGGTTATTTGCTTTTAGCTAGTTCCATGTTTTATGTTGTAAATCTGTTTAAATAGGCTTCAAACTGATTAGAGAAAAGCTAAATATATTTAACACTAAAGCAAGTGTTTGTGTGTGATTCCCTCAGGAAAAACATGTCAATCAGCTGCTAATCTCTATATTATCCTGTTTTTTAATTATTTTTTTAGGTCATTTCTCCTAAGCAAAGATGGCAATCCAAACAAGCGCAATGTGCACAACGAGACGTCTCTGCACCTTCTCTGCATGGGACCTCAGATCCTTACCTCCGAGGGGGCGCTGCAGCCGAGGATTTCACGACCGTATGAAGATGAACAGCGACGAACAGAATGCCTTCAGATTATCCTTTCATGGACTGGAGCAAAATTAGACCACGGAGAGTACGAGACCGCTGACATAAATGCCAGTGACAACAAGAAAAATACCTGCCTGCACTACGCTGCCGCCTCAGGCATGAAGACTTGTGTTGAGGTGAGGATTCAAAATCGTGTGACGTTTTAAAACGTAGACCAGAGGCTTCATAGGTGGAAACTGATGATCTCATCGAGATGGTGAGAAATTAAAAATCAAAACACAATGCATCTTTATCTTTTTAGTTTCTGGGTCAAAAACAAAGAAAAGTGAAACACAAACAGCCTTTAAATGACTCGTTCACTGAGAGACCATGTAATACTTGTCCTTTCTGAAATACGTTCGGTCACTCTGGGTAGCATATGCATGTGTACATTTTCTTCAGCCTCCATCGCCTGAATTATACACAGAAAGGAAATAAACAGGGAAATGCTCGGGTCAGAAAAATACACAGAAAGGAAATAAACAGGGAAATGCTCGGGTCTATTCTAAGCCACAGGGAAAATCAGCTTTCATGGCCCCGCCCACCCTGGCTTGTGTACAGAAAAGGAAAATACTAAAATCACTACTGTCATTTTAAGTTGTGTTACTACTAGGGTTGTCACGGTGTGAAAATTTAACCTCACGGTTATTGTGACCAAAATAACCACGGTTTTCAGTATTATCGCGGTATTTTTTTTAAACGTGCTATATTTTCACACAATTAAATAAACCCTGTATGTCAGGAAATATTGTCCTCAGTTTGTGTCTAAATTTTGCCTAAAATGTGTTATTTTGTAATTATGTTGTTTATTTGTTTACATTTTTTCCCTTTAGTATTTAAAATAGCAATATTTGCCCATAACTTCTTATTTTTTGTCTATTTGATGTCATTGTTTAAAAATATTAGATCAGATGATACTCAGTGCTCAAGTAGCCTTCTAATCAGATACTTTTTTACCCTTACTTGAGTAATAAACCCTATATTAGGAAAATATTGTCCTCGGTTTGTGTCCTTCCAGTGAGCTTTGCAGATGTGGGAAAATGTCATCAGGCAGTAATCATTGTTAAATTCATAATTATTCTCGGAGAGAGACCAACTCTTATCTGCCCCTGGGAACCCCATAATGCATAGCGTCATTTCAACATGGCGGTGTCCGCGACACGGTTTATATGCAGGTAGCGGCGCTGCGGCTGCTTTATATAGCCACTCGTTGCATTCCCCCTCAACCCAAATCCTCGGATCACGCATTTGAGCTAAAACGCTAACGTTAGCTTGCCTTGCGTTGACTGTAGAGTTGTGGGTGATGGTCACGCAGATGTGTCATGAGATTTGAAGCGTTGCTGCCTTTCACAGACACTTTTTCTGCACGTGCTGCAAACAGGATAGCCGTCTTCTATCAACTGTCCCTCGGCATTCTTCAGATATCCAAAAAATGCCCGTACTTCCCACTTTGTCTTCTTTGAGGGATAAAAATGTCCTGAGCGTTGCCGTCTCCTCCTTTGGCCATTATTTCAGCTTTAGCTTCAAGAAAGTTTTGGTTGTAAACAACAAAGCACGCATGTGTCGCCGGCAACTTCAGCAGATGATACGGTGGCTGGTAAGGGTCACCGCACCTACACCGCAGCCACGGTAACCCACCGAGATAATATAGTTTTTTAAAAACAAGACTGTTATTATAATTGTCAACTTTTTTACCGGGGCTTACCGCCACACCGGTTACCGTGACAACCCTAGTTACTACAAATATGCCTTCTGAAGTGACTTATGTTTGTGCAATCAGGAGGAGTGTGATCCTCTATATCTCAGCAGTCCTGCCTCTGGTAAAATGGGTCAATAAAAAACTACTTAATCTATAAAACAATTAAATGCTTGTAGTTTTCGATAAGTAAAAACTGGAAAATGTAATACTTTATGTCTGTTTTTTTTAAGTTAATTTAAAACGAATGAAGAAATGCGTAAGAATTAAAATTTTTTTATCAAAGTTTGTAAAGTGGCTATGAAGTCATTCTGTTCAGAAGTGTTCAAAGCTGAAAGTAAAGATTTAACCAGTCACCACTGAGCCGAGGCAGTAAGACCAAGGTTTTTTTTTTTTTTAAGTTTCTATGTTTAATATGAAATGGGACTGGGTCTTAATGTAACAGATGGATGTGCCCATAGTGGGATCACTAATGGACATCACTCGAATGGCATCACTCGAAGTTGGACCCCAGCTGGGTGGAAGATGGCTGCTATCATTAAGGACCAGTTTGTTGGACTTTTCAGTCTAAAAAGGACTGAAAATTTATTCCCAAACCTGCTGAAAGCTTCAGGGAGATTCTGTCCTCAAGCAGTTGTCCAGGAAAAAAAATGCACCGTTCTCCAGAGGGCCATGATGCCTTAGCAGGCAGTGCTCCATAACCCTCAGAGTGACCTGTTAAGGAGCACAAAGCAAGTAATGATCTGCCCCTCTTCTTGTCATTACTTGAACCCAACGAGGAGCTTGTGTCTCATTCTTTAGCCTGGGGTGAATTCATTACACCACTTTGAACACTAATCTAGACGTGGCTGCTGCTCCAGAGAACTAAACTAGAAGCTGAACAACTTTGTAAAGCTTGGTGAAAAAAAATCATGTTTGCAGAATGAGTATTATTTAAAGATGAGAAAGTATGTTTATGAATCCCTTTGTGTTGCTGATTTGTTATTCAGCTGATGGTAAAGCGGTGAAATAAGAAGAATTATTATTATGTGGCTTTGGAACTGTTCATGTGTGTAATCCCTTGGGTAGAAGAACCCTCCCATGATTTAGTTATATATTCATGACTGAGAGCTTTGGATTTAACAACAAAATTAATCCTAATAAATGCAAATTGTCTAGTAATTATGTACCGAAAAAATCTGATTTACTTTGGCTTGATTCTGACAGAGTCTGTTATGTTGTAAATTTGCACCTTTACCTCCTGTAACACAAAAATTGTTACATAAATGAAAAATCTGCTGCTTTTATGCTTCAACTCTTCCTCATTTATATTCTGATCGACATAAAAAAAGTTTTTAAACATTAGTATTAATCACTGACAGTATCAGTGTAGTTTTGTTTGTGTCAGCCTTTGCTAGACTGAGTTGGTCACAGTGAAGGAAATGAGTTCAGAAATTAACCACAGAAGGTCATTTCTTTTGCCTATTCAACCGTACCCATGATTTTCAAACACCCCATTCACGTTGTTGCATAGCTCCACCGTTTTTAAATCTTGGTACATCTTCTGGAATGCAGCCTGTGTCCAGTACTCTAAGCCACACTCTTCTTTTGCTTTGCTCTTGCTCAGTTACTGGTGCAGAGAAAAGCGGACCTGTTTTCAGAAAATGAAAACTGCGAGACTCCATGTGACTGTGCAGAGAAGCAGCACCACAAGGATCTGGCCCTACGCCTGGAGTCGCAGATGGTCTTCTCTCTGGCGCCCGAGGCTGAGGGTATAGAAGCTGAGTACGCAGCCCTTGACCGAAGAGAGGTACCGGATGAGAGCCAATGAGCCCACACCTTTGGTTTCATTCCTTTGTGCTGTGACTTTTATAGTCAGGACTAACATTTAGTGTTTTATTCTGCATCGTTTAAAAAAAAATAAACCTTTTCATTTAGTTTAACAGTTATTGATGTTTTGGTTACAACCACTTTGAGCAAGCTAACAGTGATGTATTCAACTAGCCAAAGCACACACCTGGGTAGGATTACCTTAGTTTAAAGTCAACATTTCTAAAGACCTAAACATGAAAAACTTCAGAAAATTTAAGTTTGTTCCTGGTGGATCAGTCCAGTGTTTAAAACTTGTCTAGAATCATTCATATTTTATTTGTAGCTGCTTTTAATGGACATACTTACAGACAGAGGGTGTGTCCGAATCCACGGGAAGGATGCTTGTAAGAGTGCGATGACGTCACAGCGCAGCAACGAGTACTGTCCGAATTCCAAGAATACTCATTCTCACGTCCTCGCTCCGCCCACATTTCGAGGACGGGTCTGTTGTATCCTCACAGAACAAGGCTATCCCAGCATGTTTTGCGCGCCGGCTGTGGATTTTCAACAGGAAGAGAAAATGGGGAGAGCTACGAAGTTTTAAACGTAAGTTTGTTAAAAACTAGCCGTAGAAACCTTAAAAGCTTAAAGTGGTTCAGTTTATAGACATTTTTCATTTGTATTTTTGTTTTTTAAATTACATTTTAGGCAGAAATCAGCCAGAACGAGTTTGTATCGCGGGTCCCAGTTATTCCCGTCTGTGTGTGTGTGTAGCAAATTAAACTTGTCATTTGCTTTAAGGACAACAGAGCAAAGAAGCGTTTTTCTTAAGCTTAGAGGTGAAGAGTGAAGCTGTTTACACACAACCACAGAAGTTCTTCTGTGAAAAGTAGTTTTACATTCAGGGATTTACACAGCTGACACGTTTTAATGAAGTAAAAAGTTTGTGTGAAGAATATAATTTTTATCTTCTCATGTGGATTAATGTAAAAATGTGTTTATTGCCTTTTTGTCACCTGCGGTCTCTGATTTTCTCTGTAGGACTGCAGGTGTCCAGGGTCAGGAGAGGCTTTACCTGTTGTTCCTCCTGGGAGAGAGGCCTTCTACTGTCATCATTAAGGCTGTAGCGAAGCCTCGACGACGTCGACGGCTCAATTCTAAAAAATTGTCGACGTCAGATCCGGAAGTCGACGCACCGCGCCCACTTGTTGCATCCCCAGGAGTTTGTAAATAGAGGAGGAATCTGCCTGTTTTTCCTCTAGTTCGCCCTCTTCTCCGCCTTCACTAACATCTCCGCCAAATACCGAAGACCCGGAACAACGTCCGTCCACTACTAGATTATTTTCCTGTTTTGCCCGCCTTCGTCACCCGGCAACGGACAACAACTTCTGGGGTCAGACGCTCTGCTTCGTCTCTACCGCAGATGTAGAAAATCACCGGGAGCGTTTCTCCCTTCATTAAGGAGCTTCTTTCAGACATTAGGAGAGCTGTTTTGGTGGTAGCAGTCTCTCCTCCGTGCTGGTCTGTTTGCTGCTGGGTGTTTTTGGTTTATTTAAACTTGGTAACTTGAACTTAACGTTGGTAAAGCTACTGTTAGCATCTTCGCTAACAGCTTCTTGCGTTGGGATAAGCTGTTACGTTTTGGTTTAGAGTTCATCTTTTTTGTGGTGTAGATCTCCCTTTTATTACATTTAGAGTGTTGTGGGTTTTCGGTTTAGTGTAAAATATCACCTTGAGTTTGGTTTAACCCGTAAGACCACTCGCCTCACGCACATAAGTGACCAAAACAAAGCAGCATGGAGACACTCCATCTTCTACCACCTCTCAGGCAGCAGCCTGCACTCCCAAGTTCTACACGTCACCAGAACATAACCAACCGCAACACAATAAAAGCAGTGTTATACAAAATGGAAGGCCTGTAGTGTTTATTCTCTTACAGTAAGAATTTATCAATTTTTTTGAGGAATTTATTTGAGATTTTCTGGTTTTTGTTAATTGTGCAATAGAAAAATAATCATTAGATTAATTTTCTAAATAGTCATTAGAATAGTCGACTATTCGATAAAATAATCGTCAGAATAATCGTTTTAAAAATAATCGTTTACCCCCAGCCCTAGTCATCATGTTAATGTTATTTAGCAGTTTGATATTTTAGCACATTTATTAAAACAAATACTAACCGATAACTCTTTATGGTCATTGATTTTATCACCAGTTTTATTATTACAGATGTTTTTTGAACATGTTACATGAACAGAAAATGAAAAGATGGTAAGGAGACAAGATTATTTATAATAGGTTAAACTTATTTACAGATCAAAACCAGTATGGACCAGTTTTGTACGGTTAAAGCAGGATTAACCTGAGTGACTCTTCCTGGATCATTTATTTAAACTGAGTGAGCAGGAAGTCTTTAACAGTGCAGCTGGATCTGCTGCAGGAGGATCCAGACGTGGATGGAGGACTGGAGCAGACCCGTGGCTGAACGTTTCTGGTCAGAGGAACATCATACAGGACGGTCTGCAGAGAGAGCTTTGGGATGCTTCCTCTCACTGTCCACTCCATCGTCCATCTACAGGGCCTGCTGGGCTGGCTCAGACGACGGCTGTTACATCTTTGTGAATGACTTGCCTGTTAACAGCAGTGGTAGTCTGCTGGTACCTCCTCCAGGACAGAGCACCACTGACCTCCTCCACACACATCTTCCTCAGGCTTATCCTCCAGACCCACAACTTCACCAGCACAGAGGCAGATGTGCAGCACAGTGCATGCTGACCTGTAACCCCCAAATTCCACTACCTCTGCTAAGCTCCGCCCCCGCCTTCCCCAGCCGCTCGCTTCCGAACTCAATTTTTACTGGTACCCGCTCTACAACGGCTCCGCTCCGGTGCGGAGACCTGAGGTGCGCAAACAAGCATGCGCGGGATTTTCGAGATCTTGCGATACAGTCCGAGCAATAAACGCGGAAGTTATATCCAAACACCCGTTGTGTGGGAGAAGCATCGAAATGAACCGTTTAATCTGCCCATCATTTGTGTTGAGAGATCAGCAGTGTTTGGATCAACAAAGTGTGTCTACTTTGATAGTGGAAACTGTATTCATGGCTTACTTTTGTGCATTTAAACTTCAGCCGCCATTGATAGTTGTTAAAAGTTGTTAAACCTGTGCATATGAAACAAAAGCGCTTTTTGTTTATCGATTTATTGTGAAATAACGGAAGTTGTGCTTGTTCCCTTTCCTGTTGGGCGGTTGTGATTCCTGTCCATTGACTGCGGAGGTGCTCCGGCGTCCGGCAAAATTAGGATCGATTCTATTTTTGCCGGACGCCGGAACAGAGGGCGGCGCACTGCCGCAGCAAGGCCGCAGTAGTGGAATGGCTCTGATTGACTACAACGGGACCGATTTTGCTGCGGAGTTCGTGCCGGAGCGGAGCGGAGGTAGTGGAATTTGGGGGTAATAGATTAAATGAGTTTGTTTGTTTTTTTATAGAAACATGTAAAACAAAACATAACCTGCAGTACACTGGTTCTGTTCAGTTTAAAGAAAAGCAGCAGGGAATAGTTAAATAAAAACTACAGAGAATTTACATTTTTAAGACAGATCTAATCATTATTAGGCTTAAGTTGAATAAACAAATGCACATTGAAAACACTTCAATGCTATTTTATTAAAAAGCCTGTTTTTTAAAGCATTTTACCCCCATTTGATGCAAAATAAGTTCTAAGGTCCAATTTACATTAGAAAACATCCTGCTGCATTCAACATTTATAATGCATTTGGTTTATATTAATTACCTACATGAAAATACTCTGTAGTAATGTGTTGTGTACGTTTAACAAGTTCATTCTGTAGCTTAAAACATACATGAAACCATCTAAAGTTAACATGTAAGTTCTGAAAGCTTATAGAATAAACAAAGTTACTTTACCTGAAAACGGTTGTGAACAAACACTGTTGATGGACGTGAAGCTGCTGTAGCTCCTTAATATTCCTGCTCCATTTTCGCTAGCTTTAGCATTTTTCCTTTGCGTGTAGCTGCCGCCACGGCTGTGACGGGACCTACGGGCCACCGTACAGGTGAAGGCTAGACTGTCCGAATTCAGAGTCGCTAACTTCCGGTTTTAGCGGTCTTCAAGGACCCGGCCTTGCTAGACCGGCGAGGACCCGTACTCATAAGCATCCTTCTTGTGGATTTGAACACACCCAGAGACAGACTGGCTGAGGTCATATGACGCCCATACACATCAGTCCTTTGTTAGGGTCATGGTGCATGGCTAAATCATGCCTCAGCGCTCATCACAGTGCCTGCACTACTTCTCTTCTCCCTTTCCCTACCTCCTACATGCATTTCCTTTTGTACCGCTTTATTTTTCTCCTTTTCTGTTCTTGTCAACAGTTTTGTTTCTTTACGTTTTGTGTGTAATCTCCTTTATTCCAGTTGTATGAGGGCCTGCAGCCTCAGGATCTACGGAGGCTGAAGGACATGCTGATAGTGGAGACAGCTGACATGCTGCAAGCCCCGCTCTTCACTGCAGAAGCTCTGCTACGTGCCCACGGTACAGTTAGAGTAAAAGACACAGATATGAAGTATCTGTCTTCACGCAGGTCCCTCTGAAGTTCTCCAGTGAAGCGTAGTGATCAAAACAAACACCACGTTCAGCCATGGGGAAAAACTGAACTTGGTTTTCATTCTATGAAAAAGACAAGAAAACCAAAACACTTGGATTTTTAAACTAATTTATTTACACAAAATTATATTTAAAGTAGCGTGCTGTGGGAAAGTTAAGCCTCAGAAGTGAGTGACTGTTTTTTTAATCACAGTAACTTGATACAAGCATTTGGCAGAATTATCCATCAACTTCTGAGTATAACTTTGTAGCTATTTTCTTAAAAAAATATACATATTTTGTTTAAAATATTCAGTTTGCTTTAAAATTTTATGTACTGTAGTTTAAAATCAAAGATACAGAATAATATCACTTATGTACATAAAACTTCTGTAATAAACCCAAACATTTCAAATGCCAAATAGTTAGTTTTAGATTCTTGTCTTGGTAAATATGATGAAGACATCAAACTTCGTTTACTCTAAAAGGCTAGTTTTATTGTTGTTTTGAGGTAACACTTCTCTTGTAATGATCAAAGTTACGTAAAAAAAAGTTAAATGTCAAATTTATGCAATCTCTTTCTGATTTATACATTTTAAAAAGTGGTTTCTCTGCTCCAACACACTTGATTCAGTGGTTGAATCACTTGTGCAGCAGTGCAGGCTCTGCAGAAGCCTGTTAATCAGCTACTAATTAAAATCAGGTGTGTTGAAGCAGGGTTAAAACCAAAACGTGCTGGATACCGGCCCTCGAGCCCCAGACCTTTGAAATAGTTTGGAGATTTTCTTAAATCCTTCAGCAGACTGATGTCACATTTTCTTCTGTGGTTCTGGGGGTAGTAACGCCATCCATCCATCCATCCTCGAAACCCGCTTATCCACGAAGCGTCTGGCTGGGGCTGGGGCCTATCTCCAGCTGTCTTTGGGCAATCTGTCCAGGGTACCCCGAGCAGGTTGCCAGGCCATTGCAGTGCAAGTGAAGCAACCCCGTATACTGTATATCTAATGTGAATCTCTAATCTAGAATTGATTGACTTTAAAGTTAAACATGTTTTCCAATGTGCACTTTTCATATGATTTTTGCACGTTTTGCCAGATATGCTGAAAATATCTTCAGTTTTTATAAAATGTACACAACTCAACCCCTAAACACCAGAATTTATTATCTTAGTAAATTTATGTGTAAACAAATAGCTTGTATATTTGTCCCTTGACTTTTATGTATTACAGATTTGTACCTTTTTTCAGTTTACAAAGGAATATACAAAGGTTACTGTCCTCTTCGCAACAAGCGGCGTCCCTCGGGTTGAGGTGCATAGTGTTAAATAAATAGGGTAAAGAAGAGGATAAATGGGTAAAAATAGAACAAAATAAGATGAGATGGTAGCAATCAGTGCAAATTTAAATAAGAGATAATAAATGTCTCATTTAAATGTACAGGAAATATATTTTTCTCTGTTTTACAAAACTACTTTTTTGTTTAAACTGTGAACAAAGGTAGCTTTAAAAACGGCTCCCTGGTTAACATCGCCTGGCTCAAATGCTGTAGCTGTGTGTTGATCTGTGTGAACTACATACAGATGCCTGTGGGAGCTCTTAAGGAAGCAAGCAGTGCTATATTTACTCCCCTCTATTATGGGAATGCTGCCTGCTTTTTGGAAAAGGATGAGACATTTTAGGACTTTTGTTAATGTCCAGAAGAAGATCTCAGGGGCCCTGCACATCATCCAATGCTTGTAAACATGAATCTTTTCCAAAACTTCTCCTTGGTGCTCGTCTGCTGCTGTGCCTTCCTGTCAGTCCACAATCATCATTTCCTAAATGTGGAATAAAACTTTTAATTTCAGACTCCTTTTTTTAATAGCTCAAGGCTTGGAGATAATGTTATACTCATTGATTAGTTTTAATTGAATGGAAATGGGGCGAATTGTTGCAACATTCATTATCTAAACGAGGCCATTTAGAGTCGGAGGCATTTGATTGCTGGTGAAGCGTGTCTTCAGGCTGATAATGTCCTAATTGCCGCTGACCGGGTCATGTTCCTTTATTTTAAGAGGGGAGAATATTGAGACTCAGACGCAGTCCACAAGTCATTCACAGTTAATGCTGAAAGAGCTTCAGAATGAACAGCTATTCTAAAAGAGAAAAGCAGGTGGCAGCAGGTCTTTGTGGTTGGGAGAGGGAATGTTATGGATTCAGTTTAGGATTGGATTGAATTTACATGATATTGTATGTTTCCTGTTCTCACCCATGTTTAATTGAAGCCTAATTATATTTAAAGTATATTTGCCAATCTCATATTTCAGGGGTGTATATTATTATTTTAATAAGCAACCTTTTTGCTTCAGATTGGGACAGAGAGAAGCTCTTGGAGGCCTGGATGAGCAATGCCGAGGAATGCTGCCAACGCTCAGGGGTACAGATGCCTAACCCACCTCCTAGCGGCTACAACGCCTGGGACACCCTGCCGTCACCACGGACACCTCGCACCACCCATTCCTCCATCACCTCACCTGAGCAAGTCAGCCTCATGCCTTCTGATGAAGAGGCTTCTCTGGTGAGAAAACTCCCACCCCAGTAGATGTGCACTGACGCATGCAGTGGTCCATTTTGTACAGAACACACAATTTTGTGTTTGTGCACCATTACAGTCATAGATTATGGGGACTCTTATAGTCAGGCTTTTTGTGGAAATCTCAAACTACATGACGATCAGCAGAGACTCATTCTAAAAATAAAAAAGTCAGGCAGATAAGAATCATTTAAAAGCTTCAATAATTAAAGGGAAAATGATATTTTGGTTCTTTAGTAGGGTTGCTGACCTTCCAACGTGTGCAGATCTTGTGTGTTTGGTACACACTAAGAGTTCAAAGTAGACTAGTAAAATTGAATGTCCACAGCCAAGGATGTCTGGTCAGTTTGAGTGATTGTTCTCTGAAGTGTACATCAGCAAGCATCTAGACAAAAGGCTGAGGGTAAAAAAAGATGAACAAAAGAAAATTGTAGCGATAACAGAGTTGGACTCCTTCCTCATGCTTTCTTCCACTTGTGAAAAAACTAAGTCGGAAGAGCAGAGTGAGCTGCTAATTTAGCTCCCTTCATCTTGATATGTCTGTTCCCTTTTCTTTGTGCAACTCTTTGAACTCCTAAAAGATAAATGAAGAAGGAAAGCTTCAACTTGTGTTCAAGACTTTGTTAGCTCACTTGTTTGTTATTTTTGAGTTGACAGTGGGGAAATCGACTGTTGACGAAGTGTTAGACATGTTTAAAGGTGCATTTTAGAGTGACGGTGGCTTCCATACTGGTGAGAAACTGAGAAATAAAAGAGCGGACCAGGACAGTTCTTTGGATTCTCACACATGATCCTTTTAAAGATGTGGAACACTGAAAATTCATTGTTTAATGATTACTTCTGATTCTGATGGGATTTTCAGATTGCAAGTGAATATTAGGGTTTTCCCTGAAAATTGTATTTGTTATGTTGACCAATTACTAAAACAGGAAACCGAGGCTAAAAGCACTGATTACAACTTCTACCCGTTTGTCAAACATAAAATGACATATTTGAATAAACAAAAGTAACTGGTAATAGAGTAGTATTGTAGCTTTTTGTTAGCTACATAATTAATATGTATTATTTAGTTTTAGACGTATCTAAATTATCTCTAGTTGATACACAACTGCAGCTAATGATTGTTGAAGCTGACAGATCTGACTTTTGTCTGTGAAGCTGTGTTGTATTTGTCATAGATATTCATTTGAAGTGACTCCTAATAGACATGGTGGCACTTAGCAAATCTCCCCGCTGCATTAAAGGGCTCGTTTAAAGCTTACAGTAGATTTTTATCATGTTCTGCCTGTTCACAAATCAATCATGGCATTGTTGAAGAACAGTGCCTACCCTTTGTCTTGAGTAGGTCAGTCTTGCAGTGTAACAAGGCCAACGTGGTTGTGGCTCCTGTTTCTGTGGGTGTGAGAAAACCTCTGCGACTAGAAAAGTCATCAGAGCCACTTGGTGAAGGAGAGGTCGTAACTTTGACATAGCAGCTTTTTCGTGAATCGAGTACTGTTACTGTGTGCAGTCACACCCACTGAAGTGCCTGTTTATTCGGGGCTTGACTTTCCCATCCATTATAAACCACTGGATGATACAATCAGGCCTCCCATCAGAATATCAGCACTGGTCAGCGTATTCCAGGTCTGTGGAATTTCAGACAAAACCCCTTTAATGGGAATTATTATGTTTCAACCCATAATGAAAATGCATGAATCGAGTGCTGATTTAATGATCATAAGTGGCTAAACAATGCTTCCATACACAGTGGAAAATCTTGGTGAATGATGATCACCTTTTTCTGCTTTGTAGTGCGGTATCTGCTTTTCTTCCATCTCCTTCTTTGAAGAACCTGTTGACATGTCCTGTGGCCATGAGTTCTGCAGATCATGCTGGGAAGGGTAAGTAAAAACAAAAACCTGGATCTGATCTAATGCTGGACCTTCTACAAATGCCGGGGTCGAGGTCAACATGAATAAATAAAGGCTTTCTACAAAAAAAAAGCAGGCAGGAAATATAAAAAAAATAAAGCTTGTCATTAAAATGTGCATACCAATGTGAAAAAAATCCATTTTATGTGGACTTTTATTTTAAATAAGCAGTTTTATGGTAATATAATGCTGTTTTTAACACAGAAAGCTTGTCGAAGCATTTGTCTGGGTGACATAATCCTACATTTAGAACTGCTTTGATTATTCTGGTCTGTAGTTGCATATGGTAGAATGGAAGCCTTGTGGAAAACCTGGGGGGTTTCTAATCAGTTATCTTCAAGACATACTTTTGATTTCATACAGTCCAGAAAGTCAGGTGTGTAGCTGATTGAGGAAGTGTGGTTATTATTCTGCCATCTCTAAAAGATTTGTTTTTGTTTGGATCATTACGGTAAACAGTCTCTCTCTCTCTCTCTCTCTCTCTCTCTCTCTCTCTCTCTCTCTCTCTCTCGCTCTCGCTCTCGCTCTCTCTCGCTCTCTCTCTCGCTCTCTCTCGCTCTCAAAAAGCCTGACTCAGATAAAAGCCCGCTACCATAAGCAGTTTAAGTAAATACAAGCCCTGCGTTTATCAGGGTTTGGCTTGGGAGGTGTTTTATCAGCTTTAGGTTTTTCAGGTTTTATTAAACTGATCTTTTTAAGACCCTCATTGATGTTTGCAATCTCCTACAGGTTTCTAAATCTAAAGATCCAAGAAGGAGAAGCCCACAACATATTCTGTCCAGCCTATGATTGTTACCAGCTGGTACCTGTTGAGGTCATAGAAAGTGTTGTTTCTCGAGAGATGGACAAGCGCTACCTCCAGTTTGACATCAAGGTAAATTCCCATTAGTTTAATAAAAGTATGAGCCACTGAAAGGATGAAACACTTGACTCCTCTGGTGCATCATTGTCACCACAGGAAGTTATCACCAGCTTAGCAGAATAAGTTGTCTATGTGCTTTCAGGTTTAAATCAAACTTGTCTTCTTTATTTCTGTAAAGGCATTTGTAGAAAACAATCCAGCTATTTGCTGGTGTCCTGAGGCAGGATGTGAGAGGGCGGTGCGCCTGAACACTCATGGCCCTGGGACCTCCACTGTAGACCCTCTGTGTTTTCCCCTCCTTCGTGCACCTGCTGTAGACTGTGGCAAGGGCCACCTCTTCTGCTGGTCAGTAACCACTCCATACATATCTGTACTCTTACTGGACAACTCAACATGTTTACACTCATTTGTAGATGTATGTAACATAAACAAGTCAGGTGTTTCTTTCCATTATGCTTTTTCAGATTATTATTTTTACGGATGTCCTGATCCGATCACATGATCAGAAATCGGCCCCGATCACGTGGTTTCAGACTGATCAGGACTCAGGCTTTACTTCCCGTTCCAAGCCCCGATCCGGACTTGGATACTGGGTTCAAATTACAGGAGAGCAACTTGGTTCTCCTAAAGGTTGTCAGGCTCTCCTGATGCCCTTAACTTCCACACCCAGAAGGAGCACAAAAAAGATCCAGTTTTTACCTATATAATATTATATTATATTATTTATATGGACTCAGAGTAGCGGGGATTCTTTTGGGCAGAGATGCAGAGCGGCAGGCAGACCGCTGATTCTTCATGAACTCCAGCTGCGTTCTGCACACGGCCACAGTAACATTTTCCATGTTTCTAAATGGCGTCACCAAAAAATATACAAATAACACACAGTCATTCGTGTTCGTTCATTTTCTCTCTGGTAAGTTCTGTCTGTATTTGAGCATGACGTGTGGACGCGCTTGCGCTGCAGCGCTCGTCACTGGTGCAGCCGGGCAGCGCGGCGAACACTTCGCTTGTTTTGTGGTCAATAGATCAATTTGATCTTCTAGTTAAAAAAGTTACTTGTGAGGTGAAAAAGAAGGAAGCAGACAGAAGTTTTTCTGGAGGACTGGGAGATGCAGGAAGATCAGAGACAGACAGGACTGGAAGATAGGAAAATAAAAACCAAGAAAACAAAACAAAGTTCTTAAAAAAAATAAAATGTAGGTAGATTGATCCCACTACACGTTTGTACCTGTATAAAGCAATAATTTATCAGCATGTAGTATTTATATAGTTGCCCAGGGACGTATCTAAGCATTTTGGGGGCCGAGGCAAAGTAGACCCCTGCCAGGTATTTTAAGCTGAAGTGCTATCTGTTTTTATATTAGACTTTTTATATTTGCTACAAAGTCCAAAAGTGATGAATTTATGTTATTTATTACTTGATTGTTCAAGCTACCTCACAGAAGTGATCTGTTGTTAAAAATTAAACTAAAAAGGCAATTAGGTAAAAAATAAGGAACATTCTGGAACTGTTTCTTCCTTTTCTTTATTTTTTTTAATGAATCGAAAGTATCGGATCGGGACTCGGTATCGGCAGATTCGCAAAATCAAATGACTCCGACTCGAGGGCAAAAAAACCTGATCGGGACATCCCTAATTATTTTCATATTATTCAATCACGGAGAGGTCTTCGTCTTCGTCTTCCTCCGCTTATCTGGGTCCGGGTCGCGGGGGCAGCATCCCAATTAGGGAGCTCCAGACCGTCCTCTCCCCAGCTTTCTCCACCAGCTCCTCCGGCAGGACCCCAAGGCGTTCCCGGACCAGATTGGAGATGTAACCTCTCCAACATGTCCTGGGTCGACCCGGGGGCCTTCTGCCGGCAGGACATGCCCGAAACACCTCCCCGGGGAGGCGTCCAGGAGGCATCCTGACCAGATGCCCAAACCACCTCAACTGGCTCCTTTCGATCCGGAGGAGCAGCTGTTCTACTCCGAGTCCCTCCCGAATGTCCGAGCTCCTCACCCTATCTCTAAGGCTGAGCCCGGCCACCCTACGGAGGAAACTCATTTCGGCCGCTTGTATCCGCGATCTCGTTCTTTCGGTCATTACCCAAAGCTCATGACCATAGGTGAGGATTGGGACGTAGATCGACCGGTAAATCGAGAGCCTGGCTTTCTGGCTCAGCTCCCTCTTCACCACGACAGATCAGCTCAGCGTCCGCATCACTGCAGACGCCGAACCAATCCGCCTGTCGATCTCCCGATCCCTCCTACCCTCACTCGTGAACAAGACCCCGAGATACTTAAACTCCTCCACGGAGAGGTGTCACTGTAATTTAATCATCTTAGTAAATTTCCTTGTACAAGTGCTTATGTAATGTGTGTGTGTGTGAGAGACAAGTTCTACAAAGGCAGAATAACACAGATGCTGTATTGTCCTCCACCTTCTGTTCTCTGTATTCCTGGTTTTCACACTGCCCCTGCAGTTCCCTTTCTGTTACCACTCACCTTCATCCCACCACTATTAATCCTACCTAATTATAATAATGAGACCTCCGTGCATCTCACTTCAATAAACTGGTGTTGAAAGTGGCTTTTGGGTTTGCTGAGTAATTTAATAAAAGCCGTTGTTAAGATGAAGAGATCTTACTTGTGTTCGACATAAACATAAACATGAGGAGCACGTATGGTTTAGAGACAATACGGGTCACCCAAGGATGGTAATCTTACACGAGCTCTGCATTATATTTATGTTCTTTTTTTAAACAAAAGAAGTTGACAAAACATCAGAGTGTGTTTTTGTTTTCCTGTTTCCAGTTTATTGGTCTGTATTTATTCCAGGGAATGTCGAGGGGAAGCCCATGAGCCCTGTGACTGTGACACCTGGAAGTTGTGGCTGCAGAAAGTCACTGAGATGAAACCTGAGGAATGTAGGTATTCAGTGTGATTTACTATCTTTATGTTCAGCATCTTTGACACATTTAGCCACTTCTCTACATTTCCATCCATTTTATTTTATGAACTGTGTAAATCAAGTTTGTTTTTTCTATACATTATGGTGTTTTCTACATCAGTGTTCACATCAAGCTGATTAAGTTATTACATTCTAAATTGTTCTAACAAAAGGTTAGTCCATTAGCCAATCACATTGGAGACTAGACGAGTGATTAATTTGGAACCAAACTGTCTGAAATGTGTTAACGGTAAATCAGTTAATGACACTGTTTTCATAATAAATTATTAATTTAATTGATCGTCGTACTTATAAGGAGACTGCAGAGTTTAGGGGCAGTAATTGGACTGTAAGCAATGCAGTAGATGATTTAAAATGCCCCAAGTTGCTCCTAAGTGCCATTTTGCTGATGTGACAGTAGAAAGATAACGTCAATTATTTTGTTTTGGGACCACCTCCTCCTTCGATTTCCCAAGATTCTGTTTCATGTTGGCATTTCAAACGAGAGATCAGAGATGGTTTGATAATAGCCAATTACTTTGTGTGTGTGTGTGTGTGTGTGTGTGTGTGTGTGTGTGTGTGTGTGTGTGTGTGTGTGTGTGTGTGTGTGTGTGTGTGTGTGCGCGCGCGCGCTTAGGCATATTGGGAGATGTCTAAAATATCTAAGCACACATTATTCAGACAGGACAATTTCCCGCTCACCGTAACGGTCTGTATTGATGTTGTGGTAATAGCCATTTTCATTTGATCTCATTATGCTTTTATTTGTTGTTTTTACCTCCTCCTATCCCCACTGAAGTAGCGGGTGTGAGCGAAGCTTTCGAGGATGCAGCCAACTGCTTATGGTTACTCACCAACTCTAAAGCCTGCCCCAGCTGCAAGTCTCCAATACAGAAAAACGAGGGCTGCAACCACATGCAGTGTGCTAAGGTGAGTCTAGATGGGTAGTTTTTACATTAGAAAGACGGTGTGTGAGCCTCTGTTTTACTTCGCTGAATGAAAGTTAATTAGCTTCCGAGAAAATTACCTGGTTGAAACGACACATCTTACCTATTGCTAATGTCCTAATTTGCAAGACATTGTGTTTAAATAACATGGAACATTTTACTCTGTTTTCAATTGATGACATCAAACTATTATTACATTATTACAATTCATGAATGTTTTTATCTGGTAACATTTTGCTTCGGAGTGTAGCAGGCTTCATTTGATTGACACAAGGAGACAAAGAAAAAAGGAGGAAGATCAGAGAAAAATAAACTCAAGTTTCTTTAGTCTGGGGCCATTTCAAGCAAAAGACTGGGTCTATTTTGAAATCAAATTAACGTACCAGAATCCAGTCTCAGCAGAAAGCTAAAAGGTGCTGAAATGTCAATCGTATTTGATTGCAGCACAAAGTTTGTTCAAGTGTAAAGAATCCAATTTGTAAAGCAAATACAGTCACAGGAAAAAGTCTAAACAGATTTTATTTCAACTCTGTGAGGTTTTAGATCAGGATAAAAATGTCCTAAGGTGAACATGTGTGACATTACAGAGCTTCTCTTAGCTGGTCTGGAGCATACAGGTTTGTGTTTACACAAATGTTACAACCTGGAAGATATTTTCATTTCAGTGTCACACACTTGCACACAGTTCAGTATTTTATTTGTTCTGAAAAGGAAACTTGTGAGCTATTAATTTTTCTGAAAGTATTTTTGAGTTAATTATGGTTTTTAACCTCTTAAACCTGACGGACCCGGTACCGGGTCCGGAATTACTTCCGGTTTTAAAGTCGTTCCAAAATCATGCTCACTGTTCACCAGTATAACCAAACTACACATGTACATAACGGGAAGAAGCTAGTCTAAACAATAAAAACATTGTTTTCCACCCCAGCAACACCTAATTCACACACTGAACCTTTAAATCAACCGGAAGGAAAAAACACCTACTTCACATATTAAGCAAAGCCTGAGAAAAACACACAATAGAATTAATTCTAACAAACAAACAGATGGCTTGTTTTAGTCAATTAATTAATGAAATGATTGAAAGTAATAAATAATTTAAAATAATCCAAAGATGCAGCCTCAGTTCTGTGTCCTTGAAGAGAACAAATATGGAGATAAATGTACATGAAAGTCAGTTTTATTGATGTAGAGTAGTCATAAATAATGTTGAAACAGTTTCTACGACACAAAATGAAAAGGTAATCGGTAAGTTTTTTTTTAATGTAATTTAGCATTCTGGGAAACAGTCTGAAGCCTTTCACAATTTTACACTCAGTCCAGGAATTAAGCAGAAATGTTGTAAGCAGGCTGGCTGTGAGAAATCAACATTTGCTTTAGTCCTTCTGCAAGACTGCAAAGTAATAATGAGACTGAGCTATCACTCCACTATACAGTGTTATGAATATATATTTAGTGTTGAGATGGGCAGGATCATGTTATAAAATTAGTGCTAAAGAGATAGATACCAACACATGTAAGTTAAGTCACTGACTCAGCATTAACCCATTCGGGTACATCATGACCCCTTAGGCCTAATTTATACTTCTGTGTCTGCGTCGTACGGAGACGCGCAATGCCATTATCCATCGTTGCAAGAGCTCTCCACCAGGCACGCAAGGACAGATTGAGTCAAGCCCACTTTTCTAAACATTCGTTGAACAAGATGAAGACCATGATTAGTCAGGTCGCCGCTTCCCTTAAATGTGTTAACAGCGCCGCCATTGCCCCCTCAAAAAATAAGAAAGCCGACGATATCTAGTGGCAGGCAGAGAGCAGCGTGAAGAATTCCTTTCGTATTAACTCTAAAAATATCAATGTGTTATTCACCTGTGACTGGAGTATACAGATCCGCAGCAAGCACTTTATTCTTGGACGGAAATGACGGGAAACGTTAGTTTTTAGAGGTGACAAGTGCATGAAGAGGTGGAGGAGAATGTGGGACAAATTTATTCATGTTAAAAGGCCTCTGAAATACAAAAAACAGTATAAACACAATAGTAAATACTCCATCGTGGACCAGATGCATGACTGGATTTCCCAGAAAAGCGCTACGCCCTCTTGTTATCCTGGCAGGGAATTGCTTAGCAACACTCCCCAGGTGACGGAGAAATTCAAAGGCAAAATGTCTCCGTCAGTGCGTGTGAATGTCTTCCTCACAGAGGTAGCATAAACTAGGCTTAACCCAGCAGATGATTAACAGATGGATTAACTGTTAAATGTAAAACTTCTCTGTTTGAGTCAGCTATTTGAAGATGGTTTAAGGTTACTGTCTGGGTTTGTACAATAGTTAAAAAAAAACACTCTTTTGCCAAAAAACAGTGGAGGATAAAGTTATTCCATGTTGTCAGGTAGGAGAAAAATCGGTGGGTTTGTCATAGGGATGGGTACCGAATTCGATACTTTTTAAGGCACCGGCCAAATCCATAGCACCGATTCACGTCATATGAAACTGTGCCTTTTTTCGGTACTTGTGCCACACGCCGGCGCAAGAGCATAATGTCGTCAGTCACTGTGGGCGAGCTGTAAACATAGCATGGCAGACAGGAAGCATTCTGAAGTTTATATCAACTTCACTAAATGGGATGGGTAACTGGGTGATGATGACACCAGTGACAACAATCTGCGTATGAGGCATCTTATGGGCTCGACACACGGGAGGCGACATCGCCTCTCCTCCATTCATTTTCAATGAGACATGCGCGACAAAGCGATAATCGCGGGTCTCTCTCCTACTAAGCGAAACGCGAAAAACGTGCGTGTGAAATTTTGCACTCGTGCACGTGCCGTGCACGGACGACCCAGCGACGCGATCCCAGAAAGTTGAACCATTTTCAACTTTTCATTGCTGTCGCTCGGACGAGGACCAATCAACGGAGGTTTCATTCACTGACCAATGAGCGGACAGGATGCTCCATACATCTCCGAGCAAACATGAAGGAGAAGTTGATTATTATTATGTTTTATATAGTAAAATCAGAAGTAAGATTTCACATAACTCTAGCAGCACCTTGTGAAACATCATATCTACCACTTTAACAGCTTAAATAACCTTAATTCCCTCCAAAGTGACACAGCCAAACAAAACAACGGAAGTTTCGATTTCGCCATGGAACAGAACGCGTAGACGGCTTTGCCGCTGGCCGCTGCCGCAGATCGCCTCCCGTGTGACAGGTAATAAAAGCGACAGCGACAAATTTCGCTGATCGCGGTCGTTTGTCGCCTCCCGTGTGTCGAACCCATTAATCTGCTCCAGCAGCAAAATAAATTGTTCAAGATCACATTAGCTTGATAGTTTAGTTTTTGTTTACATAGCTAATGGTGAATTTGTGTTCTCCTCAGAAATTCCAACTTCCGAGTAGGAAAAATTAACAGTTTGAAAATGAACGGCAAAAAGGAATGGGGATTCACAATAAATTTAGTTCACAGCAAAAATGTTTGCTTCAGTGTAATTAGCAGTTTATGAAACTACAAGGACCCACCATCACAGTTTGTCCAGAGGGGAAAGGAGAGGAACAGGAGCACATGGAGCTGGTTTAGTTTGTGAAACACCTCAATATTAAAATACAAACTGTTGTATGTATCGAAGGTTGCTTTAGTTTCATTTGTAGTTTATAACACATGGTCTCCTCATCAGAGTTATTCCAGAGAGCATAGAAGAGGATTTGGAGAACATGGAGCTGGATTTGTTTTTGCGTCATTTAGAAACAGTTTTTAAAGCTTTTCATATTGAAGAATTTTGTACAACAGTAAGATGATAAAATACAACCAGTTGTATGTCATTTATCATGATATTTATCAAATATAGTTATATATTGGGAAAATAATATATATTTAATTAACCCTCAGGCTTCATTAGGGACATGTTTGTCCATTTGGGCAGGTTTTTTTTAGCTTTTCTTTTGGATGCCATTTCACCATTGTTTGTGCATATGGCACAAAATTTTGTCGCAAATCCCCTTTTTTTGAATTTTGAAAATAGACCAAGGGAACACTATAAAAAAGCCACTACAGTAATCCCTCGTTTATCGCGGTAGATGCGTTCCAGACCTGGCCGCGATAGGTGAAAATCCGCGAAGTAGGGACTCCCAGCATGCCCCTCGCGGGGATTCCCTCCACGTCGCACCTACGTCACAAACCGCGGCTATAAACGGAAGTCGCCTTTCCAGCTCACCACTCAGTCATCGTTTCTTCAGATTCATGATCAGAGTTTCCAACCTACCGATCAATCCAACGAACTATCAGCTCATAGTAAGTTATCTTACTTACTTCTGGAAAGCCCGGCATTTCCGTGTCACTTCGTTGACGCTCGAACGCTCGGGGGTTTCCTAGATCAGCCGGCGTTTCACCGACGCTATCACTTCCGCGTCTGTGAAACCACGCTCCCTACAAAAACTCCCGAATTCAGCCGACCTGTCTGACATACAGTACTATATTTAATTATCGTATGATCACATTCTCTTTTTGTGGGTAAAACTCAAGAAAAAAAATTTTTTTACTTGGTTTTTTTAGTTTTATTACAAAAAGTGCATTTTATGATGAAATTGATGAAAAAAAAAAAACAAGACTTTCTTGATATTTTGCATAGAAAAATACCGCGAATCAGTGAAAAATGCCGCAAATCTGCGAATTCCCCCTGAAAAATGCTCCAAAGAAAAAATCCGCGAATCCGCGATGAACGAACCGCGAAGTAGCGAGGGATTACTGTATACATAGCCACTGTAGTCATTAGTGGACAAAAATGTCCGCTGGTAAAAAATGGCAATAAAAATGTATACATTAATTTTCTTTCTTTATTTTTTTTTGCTGTTTTTCATAGATCTGTTAAACAACTTCAGTCCTTCTCAAACATATAAAAACTTCCATCATTTTGAGGATTTTAACTCTTCAAATGCCAGTTTGGTTACTCAAAGTCGTTTCTGTAATTTATTTAAAAAAACACAAGAAATTAGTTATTTTCCAAAAAAAACCAAACTTTCTCTTCCTGGGGCATTTATTATAAATCAGTCTTGGTTATGTTATGAAATATCTAAAAAAAAAATTGCATCAATAGTTTTTGTGTAGCAACAGATTGATCTTAGTGGACAAAAACGTCTCAATGACTTCCATTCAAAATCACAGTTTTTGATCCTGCAACAAATAATCTTGCTTTCTATGACATTAGGGTTTCATTTTGGAGAAAAGTAGTGAAATTTATCATTTTTACTGTTCACCATCAAATTCAGACAGGTGTATAAACATACCAATTGTTTTTGTTTTCTACACATTGAAGTTCAGTAAGAGAGTCAAACTGTGTTTTATTTACTTATCAGTTCTCAGGTTGACCTTTTGACTTCAATACAAACAGCAGAAGATCTAAAGAAATGTGTAGACTTTCTCACCTGGGCCACATAAGGAGAAATGACTGAATTTAGTGACGAACAGTAAAAAAGCATAAATTTGACTACTTTTCTCCTAAATGAAACCCTAATATCACAGAAAGCAAGATTATTTGTTGCAGATGATACAGGATCAATAACTGTGGTTTGCATTGAAGTCAGTGGGACAGTTTTGTCCATAACAGGCACAAGAGGGTGATACATTTTAAATCTGCTGCTACACAAAAACTAAAAGCATAAAATGTGATATTTTGCCACACTCTTGACATATCCAAGGCTGATTAAAAAAATCAGTTACTCAAAATATGTTTTATATAAAATATCTCCTGTTTGTCTGCTTTTTCATGAAAAAATGAGCGTCACATAATCAAACTGGCATATAAAGGGTTAAAATTTAGATAAATATACAATATTTGATTGTTTTGATCAGAACTGAAGTTGATCACAATATGCAGCGAAGCAGGAAAAAAATATTAATCTGAAGCAGTTTTAAAAGTGTATGTTTTTGTCCTCTGATGGCTCGAGTGTATAGTAAATTTTAAATCTGTCGCTATGTAAAAACTATAAATGCAAAAAGTTTTAGATATTTAATAACATAATAAAAACTGATTTGTAATAAACGTCCCAGGCAAAAAAAAGTTTTTTTTTTAGAAAATAACTCAGTTTTTGTGTTTGTGTGTGTGTGTGTGTGTGTGCGTGCGTGCGTGCGTGCGTGTGTGTGTGTGTGTGTGTGTGTGCGTGCGTGCGTGCGTGCGTGCGTGCGTGTGTGTGTGTGTATTATTTTTTTTTCATAAATTACAGCAATGACTTTGAGTATTCAAACTGGCATTTCAAGGGTTAAAAGCCTCAAAATGAATGAATTTTTTATATGTTTGAGCAGAGCTGAATTTGTTTAACAGATCTACGAAAAAAAGCAACAAATATATTAATGTATACATTTTTTTATAGCCAATTTTACAAGCGGACGTTTTTGTCCTCTAAAGACTGAAGTGTATAGTAACTTTAAGTGAAGCCTGAGAGTTAAAAAACTGATTTAAATAATTATTAAACACTCAAAGGTATCAAATTGGTACCGTTAAGTACCAGTATCGATTCATAGGTACCGGGAATTGGTACCGTATCGATTAAAATGTCAAAGGTACCCATCCCTAGACTTTGTCAGAACCAAAACCTTTAAAGCAGAGTAGGATTTGTGATGGTTGAGGTGATTTGCTGCTGGCAATCTTGATCATTTTTATAAATTCCTTTTGTCTCCTAACCCTACTCTACAGTAAATCCAGTAAATCACAGCGTTGGAAAACAGAAGCACAGCAATCTCAGTTGCGTCTCTTGGCTGAAAAGGGAGAGGGATTTAAGTCATGACTCAACCACTCTGGTAACATTTCAAGTGCATTGGAGAGGCTGCTGCTAGCTTCCTTTGAAACTTCCTGCCAGGATGGTCAGTTTGCAGACTTTTATCAAAGCTTTTCTGAAGCGATCGATCGGCTATCTGTAAAATTACACTTATTGCTGACTTGCTAGACTTTCTAGAACTGGTGTTTTTGCTCCTCCTGGTTTCTTAAATGTGATCAAACCAAAGATCTGTGGCATGGCTTTGGCATTTTTAGGAGTATGGTATGTTTTGGTAGCATCGTATGTTAGAATCGTAAGCATTTGTCCCAGTTTTTGATCTCTACATAAATAAAGCATGTTTAATTCATAAAGAGTCCATCTGCAAAAACAGGTAACTCATATGTTAATTTCCTTTTACCAGCTTTTGACTAGTGGTGCAGAAAGACTAGTGTACACTGGTGAGTTGGTAAATATAGATGATGAGATGATCAGACCTGTTGTCTGATCACCATCGAACCATGATCTTTTATTTTATATCTACACGTTTTTGTCTGTGCCAGCCCCGTTGGTGCTTTATTTTCATGTTAAAATGGCTGACTAATGATTGATATCCGTTTTGGTGAAATTGAGTCACTTCCACAGGCTGGGGGGCCTCAGGGAGCCGGACCGTTTTGACCCTTTTTTACCTCAGAAGAAATGACTTTAACCCTCCGCCTGAAACGCGGGACTCAGTGTTGCCAAGGAACCACTCTGTCCTTCCCTCGGCGTTGGCGTCACACTTTCCTGTCCTGCTTCTGTTGTCTCTATTTTACCCACTCGTTTTTGTGTGTATCTGCCCCCCCACCCCCCACCCCCATTTCTGAGATCTGTTATCAGTTTTTTGTGAAGTGTCATCATGTACGCGTGGTGTTTCCAAGACAACATAGATGTCAGCCTTTTGTGTTGCTCTAGCTAACTTGTCATCCACCGAAGCTCTTGAGACACAGGGAGAGAAATCACTTAGACCCAAAGCAGAACGGAGTCGCTCGTTGTTGTTTATCAGGACCAAAGGGACCTGCTGATTTCTGATGATGTCAGTGTGCCTTCTAGTGGCAGCAGATTACAAGGATTCATAGCAGCTTTGATGAGACCAAGATTACACGAGGTCTTCTTTTAAATTTGCAAATGGACATGAAAAACCAATGTTGTATGTGGTGTTGGTGGGATTTCTGACATTTGTAACTGATATTCAGCAGCTACACAAGCAGATCTGTCTCTGCTTGTATTCTGTGCAGACTAAGACGTGGCTTCTGGCCAAAGCAGATTTGTTTGAAAAACTCAAGTAATTATTTTATTTTCTGTCTCCCTTTAGTGTAAGTATGACTTTTGTTGGATCTGTCTGGAGGAGTGGAAAAAGCACAGCTCATCAACAGGTGGCTACTACCGCTGCACCCGCTACGAAGTCATCCAGCAGGTGGAGGAGCAGTCCAAGGAGATGACAGAGGAGGTGCACAATAAAACTCAGCCGCTTTTTCATTTCAGTACAATTTCAGCCCCTAAGTGTGGGAATATGGACAATAGAGACAAGAGACAGTCTTTAGTTAGTGACAGTGATGTTTGGTAAATAGTTCTGAAGATGAAAAGCTTCCAAGTACCGCAGGTATTTTTTCTGTTTCATGCATTCTTCTTTGTCAAAACAAGGTGTGGATTGTGCCCAGTACAACTTTAGTGTTTTTCCAGTAGGGTTAGGTTTAGTGACACCATGTTTTCACCTCAAAGTCATCTTCAGCCTTAACTGACTTTGGTGTCCTTGATGTTTTAATCAGAGTTTATGATGGACCTGCTGGATAACTTTTCACACATTTTCTACAATATTCTTTCAGAATAATGAGCTGATTTTTCTGTTATTTCTGCTAAATGCATTTATAAACAATGGCATTATTATAACCAGAATAGTTTTGTACTATTTGCACTAGGGCTGCAACAAACGATTATTTGGATAATCGATTAATCGGATGGGGTCTCGACACGATTAATCGATTAATCGGATTACATGGGGAAATTTTTAAAAACTGCTAGGGAAACGTTATTTCTCTCCTTCCTTCAATTTATTTAACACAACTTTATTAGAAAACAGTTCAATAGCAGAAAAACAACATGCCATCACCTAAATTGTCTTATAAGGTGTATAGACAGAGACCCTAAGCTACATCTATCTGTGACCTAAAATGCTTAGTCCAAGTTAAACAGCTTAAGGGCAATTCTCATCTGTTTTGTTTGATCTCATCTGTTGACATTTATTTTAAATGTAATTAAACATAGGCTGTGAATTAATCAAAATTGATCACTATTTCCAAAAATGACTGAAAAAATACCAAATAAAACAAAAGTAAATGAATGCCATCCTCCTTGTGATGATGCCCTGGGCAACTGCCATAAAGTCACATCAAGAAATGCTGCTGATCATTCCAATGATCCCAAATAGACTCACATTAGGCCACATGAAAGCAACTGAACCCAAAAATACATTAACCAGTATATAACTGCACTCTCACACAACACGCCTGCAGCAACAGTTAGGACTCCTCCCTCCCTTTTAAAAGCGTTTTTGCTTCTGAGGACATTGTGGTTGTAAAACCACATGCTAGTAGTCTGGCCCCGGTGTGATCAACCAGTTTCTGCGGGAATGTGATGGTGGAACCAGTGCCAGATTAACACTTTGTTGTACCCTGGGCAACAATATTCAAGGGCTCCATCATCACGACCCAAGGATCACCATAATGTGGTCACATACAGAATATTTTACTGTAATATGCAGTAAATATACTCAATACTTGAATGCCTGACAACACGTAACCCGCCCAGAGTAACCTTTGACCCACCTCGTGTGGACTGACCAATGAGGAGAGGGTCTTAACTTGAGGCCCTCTCTTCATTGGTCAGTCTGCATGAGACTGACTCAACTGACGTTCAGTCGTAGGCAGCGAAGCGTCTCTGTGCAGTGCAAAAGCCCGGGTGGACAGTTTGTTTAATGTAGGGTGATCATATTTCCATTTCCAAACAAGAGGACAGGGGATCTGTGCCTATGACGTCACACTATGGCAACGCCACACAAACCATGTTGGGACCCATTTTTTGTAAGAACTAAATTAATATCAGATTCTGCCAATTAAAGGGCTCTAAAACAATTCATATGTAAATATTTTGCATATTTAATGCAAAATCTAAATTTTCTGCTTTAGTGCTGCAACAAGGTTTTATTAATAATAAATTATTATACCTTTTGTTTTACTACAGCATCGGTAAGCTTCCTGTGCACAGATTATTAAGGATGCTTGTTTCAGCTGTGAGATTAGACGATAGGATCAATGAAAAAATAAGTTGTCCCACACTCCATGGAAACTTTCAGAGAATCCACAAATAGCGGCTTTCAAATAGTTTTGATACTTTTTGCAAGTTTATAAAAGAAGCAGATGAGACAGCATGTCTGATAATTTACTTTTTCATCTGATAATATTAGAACATGTCAGTGATGTCTGAGGGGCTTTTATAAACACCATATAACTAACACTACTGGAGAGGGTATGGATTACACAGAGGCTTCTGGGGAGCCCAGTTATTGGGGGGGGGGGGGGGGGGGGGCATTTTGCCTTGGCCCCCAAAATGTCTTGAAACGGCCCTGGGTGTGTGACTGAGTTTTGAAGGTGACCTGAATTGTATCAGATGTATAAATATGACATGTGTATAACTTATTGTTTTTTACAGGTAAAAACGTGTAGTGGAGATAAATCTACCTACATTTTACTTTTCAACACTTTGTTTTGTTTTCTTTTTATTGAACTATTTTCCTGTCCTGTCTGTCTCTCTTCTTCCTGCATCTCCTCTTAATTCTCCAGAAAATCTGTTGCCTGGATTCTTACCTTTTCACCTCATCAGTTACTTTTGAGCAGATCAAAGGGATCTCCTGACCGAAAAGCGCAGAGCGCGTTTTCGATGCTGTGTGAGGTGAAATCACCACAGCACAGGTGATGAGCTCCGCAGTAGCGAGCTTCAGGCACAAATAAGACAGAAAATAGAGAACATGAGCGGACATGAACGATCGTGTGCTAATTATAGTTTTTTGGTTGCGCCACTTTGAGAATGGACCGTGCGCTGGAAGCAGCTGCCTGGATCATAGTGCAACAATGCGGAACCGGTTCGCAGCAGCGCAAGTCTGCCGGCTCTCCCTCACGCTGATCTGCGGCTCTCCCTTGCGCTGATCTGCGGCTCTCCCTCGCGCTGATCTGCGGCTCTCCCTCGCGCTGATCTGCGGCTCTCCCTCGCGCTGATCTGCGGCTCTCCCTCGCGCTGATCTGCGGCTCTCCCTTGCGCTGATCTGCGGCTCTCCCTCGCGCTGATCTGCGGCTCTCCCTCGCGCTGATCTGCGGCTCTCCCTCGCGCTAATCTGACTTGCTCTGGTCTGCGCTCAACGGCGGGCGGGAAGGGGGGGGGGGCGCTTTTGGAAGAGTTGTGCGACACAACGAATCGATGACGCAATTCGTTGCCAACGCTTTTAGTAATTGATTTTCATCGAATTTATCGATTCGTTGTTGCAGCCCTAATTTGCACCAGTACTTAATAAAATGGCAAAAGCGCCATCATTGATGGTGAGACTGTCAGGCAGCCCATTTGGAAAAGTTTCACTTACTCTGAACCTTCTTGTTATAAAAGCAAACAAAAATATGTTAGTAAAGCCAACAATCTATTTGCCCAGTGTGTTTCTCTGAGAGGTAGTCCAGAGCAACAGCCAATAGGAGTGCTTATGTCTGAAAAAGAGTCTTTCAAATTCTCCTCATCACAAGCAGAAAGAAGTGCACTTTTCAGTTTTGTATAGCATTCGCCTCAATTAGAGGTATGAATTGAACCTGAGGCACTGTTTACTTTTACTCCTCATACTCAGGATATTTACTCTTTGTGAGAGGGAACAAACACGCTCAGGAGCTTATTATTGACTATGACTCTGTCTCTTCATGGTTTTGCAGGCAGAGAAGAAGCACAAAAGCTTCCAGGAACTCGATCGTTTTATGCACTACTACACACGCTTCAAGAACCATGAGCACAGCTATCAGGTAAGCATTGCCCTCCAGGGTTGTCTGCTTTGCATTATACAGGTGCTGGCCAGTAAATTAGAATATCATCAAAAGGTTGAAAATATTTCAGTAATTCCATTCAAAACGTGAAACTTGTACATTATATTCATGCAATGCACACAGACCAATGTATTTCCAATGTTCATTACATTTAAATTTGATATTCATAAGTGACAACTAATGAAAACTCCAAATTTGGTATCTCAAAAAATTAGAATATTCTGAAAAGGCTGAATATAGAAGACACCTGCTGCCACTCTAATCAGCTGATTTACTCAAAACACCTGCAAAGGCCTTTAAAAGGTCCCTCAGTCTTGTTTTGAAGGCACCACAATCATGGGGAAGACTTCTGACTTAACAGCTGTCCAAAAGACAATCATTGACACCTTGCACAAGGAGGGCAAGACACAAAAGGTGATTGCTAAAGAAGCTGGCTGTTCGCAGAGCTCTGTGTCCAAGCACATTAACAGACAGGCGAAGGGACGGAAAAAATGTGGTAGAAAAAAGTGTACAAGCTCTAGGGATAACCGCACCCTGCAGAGAATTGTGACGACAAACCCATTCAAAAATGTGGGGGAGATCCACAAAGAGTGGACTGCAGCTGGAGTCAGCGCTTCAAGAACCACCACGAGGAGACTCATGAAAGACATGGGATTCAGGTGTCGCATTCCGTGTGTCAAGCCACTCTTGAACATGAAACAGCGCAAGAAGCGTCTCGCCTGGGCCAAGGACAAAAAGGACTGGACTGATGCTGAGTGGTCCAAAGTTATGTTTTCTGATGAAAGCAAGTTCTGCATTTCCTTTGGAAATCAAGGACCCAGAGTCTGGAGGAAGAGTGGAGAAGCACAGAATCCACGTTGCATGAGGTCCAGTGTAAAGTTTCCACCGTCAGTGATGGTGTGGGGTGCCATGTCATCTGCCGGTGTTGGCCCACTCTGTTTCCTGAGGTCCAGGGTCAATGCAGCCGTCTACCAGGAAGTTTTAGAGCACTTCATGCTTCCTGCTGCTGACCAACTTTATGGGGATGCAGACTTCACCTTTCAACAGGACTTGGCACCTGCACACAGTGCCAAAACCACCAGCACCTGGTTCAAGGACCATGGTATCCCTGTCCTTGATTGGCCAGCAAACTCGCCTGACCTTAACCCCATAGAAAATCTATGGGGTATTGTGAAGCGGAGGATGCAATACGCTAGACCCAACAATGCAGAGGAGCTGAAGACGACTATCAGAGCAACCTGGGCTCTCATAACACCTGAGCAGTGCCACAGACTGATCGAGTCCATGCCACGCCGCATTACTGCAGTTATTGAGGCAAAAGGAGCCCCGACTAAGTATTGAGTGCTATACATGCACATTCTTTTCATGTTCATTCTTTTCAGTTGGCCAACATTAGAGAAACAAACATTTTTTCATTGGCCTTTAGAATATTCTAATTTTCTGAGATACCAGATTTGATGTTTTCATTGGTTGTCACCTATAAATATCAAAATTAAACGTAATAAACATCGGAAATACATTGGTCTGTGTGCATTGCATGAATATAATGTACAAGTTTCACATTTTGAATAGAATTACTGAAATATTTTCAACCTTTTGATGATATTCTAATTTACTGGCCAGCACCTGTATATAAACAGGGTGCAGTTAAAGTAGCCGAAGAGACCATGTCTTATAACTGACTTTCACTTTAATACACTGAAGTACCAAATTATAGACTACATGTGTCTACAGCACGGTTAGACACTCAGTTATATAGTTTATCAACAAAAAAAGTTGGTTTGGGGGTGACTTGCTCTTTAAAATGGGTGCGACCATGCACTCATGTACACACACACACACACACACACACACACACACACACACACACACACACACACACGCGCGCACACACACATGCACAAATCAACGACTCAAAGAGCTCAACAAAGTCCAAGGTGTTACTTTGGCCTCAGATACTGATCTGATGGCAGCAATGGGAAGCACGCCTAATCTATTAAAGCCCCACAGTTCAGTAGGTCCTAAAGATCTATTGCTATCATCCTATTCCAGACACCCCATTCCTCTGGTGTTTATTGCTCACACCCTGGCTGGTCAGGCATCTTCAGCACCATGAGGAGGAACAACTCGGTTTAATCCAGGTGTTCATAATGTTGTGGCTGATCGCTTCATCCAGGCCATAAATCTGATTTGCTTATAAAAGCCCTCTTTCCCACCGCTGTTAATTTACTGAACTTTATTTACTGGTTGCCTCTTCATTACGTGGTCAGACAGAATTCCCAAGATTGTTTCACTCAACAATAAAACCTTTTGTCCTCCTCACAACAGCTCGAGCAGCGCCTGTTAAAAACTGCCAAAGAGAAGATGGAGCAACTCAGTCAGGCGCTGATTGGAAGTGAGTGTGCAGTCTGGCATACTAGTGTCAGTCTTAATTACACATTTAGCTGCATCTTAATCCACTCCACTGATGATATTCTGTCATGGGTCAGACTCCCAAACCTCAGCACAATTTTACCACAAAGGTTTTGTAATTATTACCGGCAGAAGCTTTAGTTACTATAACTCAGCTGCAGAAAAGGCCGTGGTAAAAACAGTTTAGACAGTCTAGAACAGTTTTAACAGAAAGTGTCCATCAGTTTTTTTTATTTGATCTATTTTTGTGTTTCTTAGGGGACGGAGGCCCACCTGACACCACTTTCATTGAAGATGCTGTCCTAGAACTTCTTAAGACTCGGCGTATCCTCAAGTGCTCTTATCCTTATGGGTTCTTTCTGGAGCCAAAAAGCACAAAGAAGGAAATCTACGAGCTTATGCAGGTTTCAGGGCTACTTACTAAGAAGAAAGACATTTTCTCAGCAGTCCTTCCTACACAGCCCATCTGAGATTGGGGCTTAAAGCTTTCTGCCTCGTGATCTTCACTCAGTAATGCTAGTACATCTTGGCTTTTAGTTAAACATATTGCGGTATTTAATTTATGATCACTAGGAATAATACAGAATGTCCTCCCCTGTATCTCTCATATTAAAACTTCTCAGGGCTCCGAGTGATGCTTGTCTCAGTCTTAACAAAATCTGAATACATTGGTTCATTTTTAAAGACCTAAAGTAAAAGCAGTTTATTCCCAAGGCTGCTTCTAACACAAGTGAACGTCACAGTTTATGGAGATGACTTAATGTTCCTGTCATCTTTAAAGTGTATTTATGTATTTTTTATGTTTACTCCCATTTGAAGGTCTATTCTTGTAAAACCGTTTCTCAGTTTTCTGCCTGTCTTTGTAACCCCAGACGGATTTGGAGATGGTGACTGAGGACTTGGCTCAAAAGGTTAACAGGCCTTATCTGCGAACTCCACGACACAAGATCATTCGGGCAGCATGTCTCGTACAGCAGAAGAGACAGGAGTTCCTGGCCTCAGTAGCCAGGGGGGTGGCCCCAAACGACTCTCCTGAAGCCCCAAGGCGCAGGTGATGTACCTACAGGAGCTCAGGAAACATGTTGAGCTGCTTTTTGCTAAAATCCGTTGACATTAGGGCTGGGCAATAAATCGAAAATTTATCATTATCAAAATTTCTAACTCTTTCCCATGTCAATAAATTTGATAATAAAAAATGAAAAGTGTGCAGGCTGGCAACATTCATGTCCCTTTAAGAAGCTGTACCACCTGTAATACATGTGACAGCCCCATCTAGTGGACAACTTTGGTTTCTGTGGATACCTGTAGTTATTGTCCATTTATCGTTATCGAGGTGAAATCCACAATATATTGTGATATTGATTTTAGGCCATATCACCCAGTCCTAATTGACATACAATAGGTGAAATCTTGTTTAATATAAGTAAACGTGCCTCATTATCCTCACAATGTCAGCTCTCAGTAAGTCTTACACTAGTTCTTCTCCGTCTGTTGCCAACAGTTTTGCTGGTGGAACATGGGACTGGGAATACCTAGGCTTTGCATCACCTGAGGTAACAGATCATTGGTTAAAAAGATGTTTGTGTTCCAGGAACTCCACATTTAAAAACATCATATGACAAAAAGTCTCTGAAGAAATGTTGATAGTTGGTGTACAGAAAAATGAATCAGCGGTAGATGTACTCCAACAAAGTAGAGAAAGGCAGGAAAAGAGGATGAACAGAAATAGAGAGAAGGATGAAAGAGGAAGGAGCAGAGAGGTGGTGTGACAGCAGACAACTGCTCTTTAAATAAAAACGAAGAGACTGCAACACAATAGTAGTTGTGCAGAAACAAATAAAATATTAGAAAAACTCTTGACGTAAAGACTGGCTGGGACTAGTGTTGACTGGTGTAAATGTTCACGTTTCTGTGTTGCAGATAGGATCAGTTTACCTATTGTTTAGAGAAGAAAAAGATTTTTTTTTAATATGGAAGCCAGCAGGAGCTTTATAGTGCATTCTCTTCATTCTGGGGGTATCTGAGGAACAGCAACAACAGACGCTTTAGGTGAAAACTGATGAATGATTAAAATTTTGAGTTAAAAATAAGAAAATAAAAGATTTAGGTAAAAGCAGCTTTAAATAAAAGGATCTTTAGCTGGTTTTTTTTAAGTGTCCAGACTGTCAACGCTACATAAGGATGAAGGAAGATCATTCCAAAGTCGGTATTCAACAGTCTGGAAGAAGCAATCACCTCGACTTTTATATCTGGTCTTTGGAACTTCTAGAAGGTTCTGGTGCGTGGACCTGAGGGCTCGGGTTGGAGCATAAGGCTTTACCAGTTCAGTAATATAGGGAGGAGCTTGACCATGAAGAGCAGTGAAAGTTATAATCAGGATTCTAAAATGAACTCAGAAGTTAACGGGTAACGAGTGCAGAGACATCAGAATAGGAGTGATGTGTGCTCTTCTGTTTGCTCCAGTTAGGAGCCTCGTTGCAGAGTTCTGGACCAACTTAAGGTGGTCAAGGGCTTTTTTTGTTAAAACAGAGTGTGTTACAGTAATTTAGACTGGAGGAGATAAAGGCATGGAGAACCATTTCAAGTTCATGTTTTGACACCAACCTTCACAGCTTGGAGAGACACACTGAACATTAGTAGAAACATGAGGGAACCAGCCTTTTCAAACCGTGTTGTGGTTTTAAACACATCAAAAGTGCTACCAGCCAAATTCTTTATGCTACAGTAAAACTACTAACTTAGTAGAATATTTCTCTCTCCTTTGTTCTTTTCACTCTGAAGTAATACGTTTAATCAGCTGTGTCTAACTAGCTTAATCAGCAATGTCTTCTGCATTGGTATTGAGTCTAAAAACTGGGTGATAACATAAGGAGTGATAATTGTTGCTGCTGTAAAAGTGAAGTCATACAAGCATATCCTTCTGGTAGCCAGACTTACGCAGTACATTACTTTCCTCTTTCAGACCATGTCTGTGTCTTTTCAGCCCAAACGGCTAGCTTTGTGTGTTTTTGACAGGAGGAAATGTGTGGGGGTTCACCTTTTTTAGCTACCATACACATCTGACTTGATGTTCGCACAGCTGAGAGGGAGAGGAGTGTTACTCAACAATGCGCACAACCTGAAACATTCCTTCTTTCCGTTTATGATGAATCATAAAAACAGCTTGTGCCCCAGAAACCCTTTCATGAAAATAATGCTGTAATGGTTTTAAGACGGGTGTTTTTAGATGTTGGTGCATTCTAGTACTGCTGCATTCCTTCCAAAAACAATAATGGTTAAGATCACAAAAAAAATAAATAAATAAATAATATAAATGATGGTTTAATGTGGTTGAAAGCTTCTCTGCTCGCTGATATGTGATATATCAGAATTTGCCATCCTCAGGTCTTGGTTTGAAGTTTTGCTTCTGTTTTTTACATCATTAGAATAGTTTTACAGAATGGTTGGACATTGGGACATAAAACTCTTTCATGCCAACATGAATAAATAATAGTGAACACGACACTGACATAAAACAGAGTCAAGATGAAAAGGAGTAAAATACTGTAGTGTTTAGAAATATTCCCTCATTTGTACCTTATAATTGCATAGCAATAAATAAGAACAAAAAGACATAGACTTATTTTTTACCCCTTAGGAGATTGTTCTGCTGGATTTAGCTTTGAGGAGGCTATGCTGTTCTACAGTAAATATTTTAACCACATGTAGAGAAACATTTCTAAGTAGGCCAGAACCTTTCTACTTACACTGAAACACAATTAAAAGTGCGATACACTGAAAATGAACATTTTTGTTTCATTATTATTTCTGATTAAAATCGGTCACTCTGAGTTTAACATGCAGGCTGAACATGAAAATAGTCTCCTACACCTTTCTCCTGCATTAGCTTCTGATAGAAACCAGACAGTGAAACTCTAGGATTAGAAAAACCTGACAGATCTACGTCACACTGTCTCTTAACATTCATGCACTCACAACGGGGAAGGCTGTTGTTGGTTTAGCGTCCAGGAAACAGCAGAGAACATCTCTGCTAGTAGAAGCTAACTGTTAGCATTAGCAACTCCACCACACGGCAGAACTCCTCCAGGCTTGTGTTATTGGTGGAGATAAAACATCAACGTTGCAGAGCAAACACAGTCAGTGGTAGAGTTGTGTTGCTGTTAGTCAATCAAAGGAGAGATGTCCACATATCAGGACCAAGACTCCAGATCCTGTCGTCTGAAGCTCAACTCTGATCCGGCTCGCTTCTAGTTCCTAAAACAGGAACAGCAGAGCTTTTTCTCCCCAGTGTACGATTTATAAGGCCTTCATTACTACTCCAGACCACTGCAAATGTACTTATTAAATGAAACACACTTTTAAAAAGAAGTGTGTTAACATTAGTTAAGTTGCACAAAATATGCATCTGCAGAAATGAGATAGAAAAAATAGTCTCCAGTCTGGATGGACTGTGGAGGGCTCATCTGTAAATTGGCCTTTGGCATGTAGACGGTAACACTATAAGCTTTTTAAAGAAACATGTGAATTGTAAGAATAAGGCTGTAGTTCTTATTGGCCTGGATTCATGTTCTTGTTGTGTGAGTTGTGCCTGAGCTTAGTGCAACACGTCTGTGATGTAATTTGTTTTACCTAAAATAAGTTTTCGAAGAAGCAGTTAAAGTGTGATTGTGGAAGCAGCCAAAATCTTCTGTCTGTTTTTCCTCTGGCTTTGAAGTCTTGATTAAGGGAGTGGTTGGAAATTTGACTCGATATCCTCTGTGACCTCTTCTAAACCAATAAGCCTTTGTGTCGTGTCCCCTTTATTGGAGTAGCTTTACATGCCTTACAGTTAAATACTGTATAACTGAGTATATCTGCTGTCTGTGTCACCGTGTGAGAGACCGAATACATTTCTTAGATCATAAAAGATGCATGTTAGACAATATAAGTCTTTATAGGTCACCTTTTGGTTTGATCTATTGATGAGGGTAGAGATTTAGTTTTGGGCTGCAAACATTACATTATTAATTTTTTGAAAGTTTGTATTAAATTATATAATAAATTTTAGCCAAATGAGCAGATCAGACCCAGCAGAAGATAGCTATGCTGTTTTTGCGACTCTTCACTAATCACACCCATTCTTCAAACTTAGTGGTTACACAGCATGTTTAAATGGTACAATATACACTTGTGACTTAAAGCCCCTAATTTGCTGCTGCCCTGCGTTATTAATATCATAACTAATCACATTAAAATAATTGCAGACATTTTAGTTAGGTTATTATATTATTACATTTAGAAGCTTACAATAAAAACACATAATTAAAATGAACATAATAAATTTTCTTTCACAACAGCATCGGCAAACTGTGCTGATCCAAAGATCACGCCGTTATTTAACACACTGAAGCCAGCCAGATGGTTCAGTATTCCCCTGTGCACTCTTTAGCAATGATTAAAAGCACAGCACTCAAGCTAACATCTAAGTATGCTGCCTTGGATCACTGCACATTAGTAACAGGTATTTGTAGTTAACAACACCTAAAGTCATAAAACTGTCAACCAGGTAATGGTTTGATTATCAATCTCCATCCTTTAGGGCTGTAGAGATGTACTTAGTGATGGAGCATAGATCAATACATTTCAGATTGGTGAACAGAATGGACCTTCAGAATGGAGCTAGTCCTAAACCTACTGACAGATTCTCTTTGCTTAAAAGATTCATCAAACTTAAAGCTTTGTGCGAGATAAGTGTAAGATGAATATTCAAATTCACCATCAAACATACGCCTGTCTGTTTGTTGCACACACACTTTTACAGTATAAAGCTGCCATTCCCACAGGAGCTTTTTCACATCTGACACTTTTGACGGGGTTGGGGGGGGATCACAAGTGGAAATAATGATGGCTCGGTTCCATTAAATGTCCCAGAAAGCAGTGTCAGTGAGGCAGTGTACACAACTGCAGGATCGTCTCGATGTGAAAAGCATCCATCACTAATAGCTCCATGCTCTTCCTCCCCCTGAGTACTGTAAGTCAGAAACATCGGGGGAAAAGGTCAGGTGACAGGTAATAAATGTCAAGAAATCATCTCAGGTGGTAGTTTAAAAAATATATCTTTTCTGTGCTTGTGCCCGACAGAATCCACACACAGCTGCTGCATCACAGCAGCTGCATGTCAAAATCAAAGCACTGATTCTGCTAAATGTCATGTGTTCATTTGTTTATTTAATGACATAAAATGGAAAGATAATTTAGCTAACAAGCCATAATACCTTGTCTGAGAACACTTTATCATGTTTTGTTCTAATTACCAGAATTTGCCATTATGTTGGATGAAATGATCTGTTAATCATAAAATCTGAAGCTGTATGACCGGGGGGTGAGTGCCGAAGCCTGTTAAACAAACGCATCACAGAGAAATTAAGAGAAGTTATTGGAGCATAAACATTATTGGTATACCTCTGTAGTTAAACTAACATTTAAAACTTGTTTCAAAGTGTTTTCCTCCTATTCGGCAAAGGAACATTAACCATGTGTAGAAACAAATCAAGTCAATACTTGGTGTGGGATTTGTCTACCAGGTTAGCATAATAAAACATCTGTGCTTTCAAAAACAGAAAAACAAATCACATCTTTGGACGTAACCACAGTAAACTGATCTGATGCCTCTGAGATAAAACCCAAAACAAGATACATGAAAATGTAAAAAAGGCTGTAGAACATATTTAGTCTTGTCACACACCTCAAAGACTGGATTATCGTCACCAGAGCTAATTATCAGTGTAAAAATAAATTGGACAGGCGTCCCACTTCCCTTTGTTCTCCCATAGTTTGAAAAAAAAATAAGCTCAGTGTTGCTTGTTGCTACATCGTTTTGGGCTTGTGTGCTGAATGTCACACTGTCAATATTATCACCAAAGCTTGAGTTTTTAGTGTTGTCCCCTGATTAGGAACCAGTGTGTCTCAGCTGCAGTAGTCAGTTGGAACGCCACAGAACTAATCAAGGCTGGGTGATGGACCTCTCGGGCATAGCTACAGATGGTCTGCTCTATGCTTCTTACAATGCCTGCAGATCACTTCATAGTGGACTATTTTTAGCATTGCTCCAACATGAGAGTTTGGATGGCAGCCTTTTGATTATATATAAATGTGACTCAGTGACTTTTGCTAATGAATGAGAGGGTGACCGGAGAACACTTTTGATCATTTTATTTGATGCTTGAATAATCCTGACATGAAAGTTCTGCGCGTGTAACTTTTTATGAGGACACTTTAATCATCGGGAAGTGGTTGATGCTAGTGGCGTTGACTTTTCTTTCTGTTTTTTATTCATTTTGTGCTTGGCTACATCCTGTCTGAATGAATCAGTATAACAGCTTACTTTTATCTTTATCTAATGTTTCAAACCACATGTGTTTAATAAGTTTTCAGTTGTTTCTGTGCTGCCACAGGCAGACATTATATGGTGATTCTTAGTTTTCAGTTGGGATCATCAACATACATTTTCACTTGAAATGTAAACAGAGCCTGGGAAGCTGAAATGAAACAAGTTCACCCATACAGAGCAGCAATTCCTACTTGAAACTGCTGCAAATGTACTAAAATATGAGTAAACTTGACTTAAAGAAAGGCAGTGTAAAGCTGAATTTGTACTTCTCTGATAGCTCGGTGACAAAAAGACAACACCATGATGCATTGATGCAAAGCCTCTGTGGCAGGCCCACAGAAGGTGACAGTCCGTCAAACGTAGCAGAAACCACAGGCCTGTGGTTGGTCAGCATGCCATTTCCTTTCGTCAACAGCACCACCATTCCCCCTCAAAAGTAAAACGAGTGCTGAAGACATCTAGCGACAAACACGGAAGAGGTCCGATGATACGAACGTTTAGACACCCCTGACTGAAGTACAAAGATACAATGCTAACTTTTTATTTGTGGAAGAAAATAACTGTTAATGGGTTTGGAGGTGGTGACTACATGAAGAGGTGGAGGAGAATGAGGGACAGTTTTGTTTGTTTTAAGTTTTTGAAATGCATATACACAATATAAATACACATCAGTAAATACAGTATCGCAGAGCAGAGACGCAATTGCTATGGTGGCTTTACGCCCCACTCCCCAGGCAGCGGAGAAGTCTGGAAGGAAAATGTGCATGACTTTGCACTGGAGCTGATGGAGATGTATAAATCAGTCTTAACAGTTGCTTTGCCGTTAGCCAATCAGAGGTGAGATGTTTGCTTATAATAAATATTAATGAGTAAACCCCACTGACTAACTCCTCCTGGAGCATCAGAGCTTTTTTTCCGCCTAAAACGACACACAAGGCATTTATCCGTACTAGAAACCACAGCTAATTTATTGATAACCAAGTTAATGGTACCTCACCTAATGTGCTGTTAGTAATTTGGTGCTTAAATAACACAATTATTGTGTAGAGAACCATGATCCAATAATACAACAAGGCAGAACTTGTAAATGAGATATTTCTACAACTGAATCCATCTTTAGGGAGTCAGTCACCTGAGTCCAACAAAACCTTACAGGTGCCACGGTTAATGCTTCTTATTTTCTTTGATCCATATATCAGGCAATAACTTTTCATCCCTCTAAATGTCTCAGATCTTTTACATAATTTCCCAGCATCTGCCTGACACTGTTCAAACTCATTTACTGTCATCTTAAACCCTGAGCTGGAACGTTGATCTGGGATAATAACTGAGCCTAGTTGTCTCTTATCTTATTGGTGTTTATGTCCCATCCCTAAAAAAGATTATACTTCCTGTTAAAGGTTTGATTTTTTCACTTGATTCAATAAAACCACATCGTTAATTTTCTTTTGCTGCATCTCACTGGATCATCATCTGTACATCTGACTCTAGTGTTTTTATTGTTAAGTCGATACAATCACTCAAAAATATCCACAGATAATTCCACAGGTTGTAATATGTTTTTTGCATTGACTTATTTTCAGATTACTTGGCAACAGTAATGTTCTCCAGGTATTTTTTATAATGATGATGTACACCATGGGCTTACCTCCTAATGTGGAAAAAATCAGTCTTATTAAAATGCTCTTAGGCTAATTGAATGTAGGGTGCTACGTTACTGCTTATCCATTGTAGCTGAATCTGAACCAAATGTTAGAGGGCTCTGGCTGCATAGGATTGAGGTATGATTGTCTGTTTAATCCCTGGGCACTTCATGAGTCAAAACAATAAACCTCCAGGCACTTCCTGCAGGCAGGCGGGTGCCTTTCATGACAGCTTTTGCTCTTCATTTGTGTGTGAGTAAAAGAGGAACACTTAAAGTGTTGTAGAACCTACCTGAGGATAAAAGGAGCCACCATCTACCACCTGCATTTATTCATCTGGAGGTATTCTGCCAGCAACAAGATAACATTTACTTTTTATATTTGAATCCCTCTCAAGATTCAGTGAGGCATTCCCCTTGCTTTCGAGATTAGCTTGGCATGCACAAGTGGAATATTCAGACATGTTTATCCCAGTCTTGATGTTGGCTGATTCGCAGCTCCTCTCTAGTGAGCGGTTCTGTGTAAAAGCAGTCTAGACTAGAATCCTGAAAGACAGGGCTAGTTCTGGAGATGAACAGATGTTATCTTGAGGATGAGCTTTCCTGGAAAACAGGATAGATCTTCTATAAAAATATCAAATGTCCAGAGTTGCCTGACCCTAACCTTATAGTGCAGATTTATATGTATAATAAGGTTTAATTGCACAAATGGAGCTACAGATATGTAGCATGCATTATTTAGTAGTTGTGTTCTGCTCATGTTTGAAGGAGTATGCAGAGTTCCAGTACAGACGGAGGCATCGGCAGCGTAGACGAGGGGACATGTCCAGCATCCGCAGCAACACACCTGACCCTGATGATCTCAGTGATGCTGCTTTAGGTACTAAAGAGGCCCATCTCTGGTCTTAACCTGTCCCTGTTTATGTCCAATGTTGGAATGTGCTTTTTGTTGCAGTTGTGGCTGAAGTGTTCCGTTCTTTGGTGGCGTTTAGTGACACAAATG